AACCAGAATAAAGAGAGATCCGCTTCAATATATACTAATAATGCGACTTACTTTCTTTTTTGCAGATAAGAATTAGATCCTGCAAGTATGAGTTTTAAGTTAATTATTAAAATCGTTTATACTACAAATACATGTATTAACTTAAAGTATTATTTATTATTAATAAATTATTAACTATGACCTTGAATACAAATCAATCTATTTTAAAGAAATAGAAATATCGTAACTATAATTTTGTAATAATTTCATAAATAAAATTGTTTTTTTACTTTGTATGAACTTTTATCAAAATCAACACAAAACAATGATGTATTTGAGGGGGGGAGGTTAAAGAGGCATTCGTCCCCCAACGGCTCGCATTTTTTTTGAATACAATACATTGATTTATTTAAAAAATGTAATGTATAAATAATTAAGAATATAAATTACTAGTCTATCATTATAATTTGTTATCATTTTAACAGGAACATGAGCTGTAGATAATGAACTGTAAATTATTTTTAAGTTTTTATTAAAGAAAAATTAGTTTCCCCTCCCCCATGGCCTCAACTTAAATACGCCCTTGACACAAAATATAATTAAAATTGAAAATAATTTTTAATAAAAATGTAAGACTATTTACCCTTAAATGTAGAGCAGTTTGTATATAGATACTATATCAATATAACAGTAAAAATGCACAATTTCAAGAAACGATAAAAACAAATCGTTCACACTACTTTTATTTAGCTAAAAATAGAGAGTTTTTATTATTTTATTTTGTTCTACTTTTTCTTAGAACAATATTTCAGAAAATTAATCAAATAAAAACATTTCAAAATTTAATTTATTAACAAAACAATTTCGGAATTATTAATCAATATATTTGTTGAAGATAATATTAACTTACCTTTAAAATGTTCTGATAATAATTTAATAAAGACATTATATAATTTATAATTTCTTTCATATATTTTTTTTTTTAGTATTATTAAAAAAGAAGGAATTTTTATAAAAATAATTATACCTACTGCATTATTCATTTAACATGTGTGCATTTCTATTATGGTATCTCAAGGTCAGCAAAAAAAACACGCAAAACCAATACTTTTCTTTGTCCAGATCTAAGTCAAAATGGTTCATAGGATTTATCAGGAATATAACAATGAAGTGCAAATTGTTGGCACAAAATCAAATACGCTCAATGTTCAAATGTCCAAAACGTGTATTTTTGTCATTATGAACAAAAATAACTGATCTATTGACTATTAAACAAACATTTAAAATCTACATTTAACGATTTCCTGTAATACACCTATAACCAATAAAACATAGCGGTATAATAGAAGCCTAGTTCTATTGTGTATCGAAATTGATCAGGACTGGAACATTATGCAGGAAGGTTTAGGGCAGTATATATATATTATGATATGAGAGCAATTACATCTAAATGAATGGCGTACTGATGTTGATGACCCCTGTGTGGTTGATGATGTCATACAAACCCTCCTACATAGCAGACGTTATTAAAGGACAAAAGGTTACCAACCTACTGAAAAAACTAAAATATACTTAATAAAATAATATTATTTAACAAATCAAAATGTATTAAACAAATAATGTGATTTTTTATAATACAGTAGAACCTCGATTATCCGTGTTTGCGATTAACCGTGCTCACTCTTCCAAAAATTTAAAAATAAGTATGGACTGTAGATATAAATGTAGTTATAATCGAACATTTTATATTACATAATACACGATATCGACAATTATATTAATGACATTTTTGACGATAATAATATGAAGATAAGCAATATTGTATGTACATCGATTATTATATTTATCGAATCACCTTCAGTTTGCTTTTTTCCTTCGCTATCGCCGAACGTAACGTGTGGTTAAGCCAACGTTATTGGCTTAAGAAAAATTAGAAGCGAAGAAAAATTATTTCAAACCAAAAAAAACAAAGACTGATAACTTCATATTTTAAGCCCTAATAACTTGTTGTATAAAATTATTGTATGTATATTATGTATATTTCTAATTATAATTGAATCAAATTTTTAAAATATCATTATTATATAGTCTCGATTAACCGTGATTTTCATTTATTCGTGTGACCCCCTCCCCATCATTACCCCGGATAATCGAGATTCCACTATAAACTTTAATGTACAATACAATTAAAATTGTATAAAATAAATAATTTAGAATTACCAAGATTAACATAGAATTTAAATTATCAATTAAATTTATTAACAAAATCAAATAAAAATAAATTCTGAATTATTAAGAAAAATTAACTCTTATATAGAAAGGGAAAGTAATCAAATAATAACATATATAGTAAATAAATAGTTAAAATAATTAAATATTTATAAAAATAATAATAAATAATATTATAAAATGCTTTATAGTAAAGATTAACATATAGGTTTAACCTATTTTTTTATAATCTTGATAAAAAAGTTTATTTTAGAATAATAATTCAGAATGTATGAAGAAGAATATATAGAAGAAATAAGAAAATAAATATTGTTTATACTTGTGTTTGTCAATGAAAACTTAAGAAAGTCAATCAACTGGGGAATTTTTTCATGTTATTTTAACCATATTTTTCATATTTATATATAACATTGAAAGTGATTAATTAATTGTAAATCCCTAATTCAACGACTAAAGATTAAGATTGTTATAATATAAATAATTATTGAAAATCTAATCTAATATCACTATTATATAAACTCAAATGTAGACAATATATTGTATAAGTTTGTAATAATTAAAACAAATAAAATTTATATTTATTTTAAAAGTAAATGATATTTCTCAATACCAGTTAATACAACATGAGATTAGGTTAAAATTAAATTTGAAAAGCTAAAAAATAATATCAATAGAATTGTTTGTTAAAATAAATATTAACGTTTGCTACATGGCATTTGAATGTTTTTTATTCATTTAAATAAAAAAAAATGAAGAATAATGAAAACTGACTAATTTAAATGCTGCTTTTTAGACATTTAGAAATCAAATTTATATACATTAATTTTTACAAGATTATTAGTCTTAAATGTTAGATTTAATGAAGTGATACAAGAAACTATTTATATAAAAACAACACATTCCACACTTCTCAGAATCTAAATTAAAAATAACAAATATATTAGTCTAAATAATATAATGCAACTCAAGAGTGGTGATCAATGCATAAAGTTTTAGCTCAATAGCCTATTTGTTGTGGCAACTATCTTTTAATTTTAAAGATTGGACTTACAAAACATAGATACTTCTTACTTATATAATAAAATATAGTCAACTGATATTTTTTTCCCATAAAAATATTTAATATTATGTTACTAAGTTATTATGTGTTTTATTATATTTTTGACTTTTTTAACAAATTTAATTTGAATTTATACGAACATGATTAGAAGTTGTACATTTTTATATTTCTGTATTTCTGTATTAACTATAGGAATGTAAAAAAATTAAAACTTAGATATATTTACATTGTCCATGTTTTTATAATAGCCTACAATTAATATTAATAATAGCAAAAAATGTAATGTAAAATTATAGTAATTATAGTTTTATTGATTTAGTTATTAAATCAATAAAATTAATTAATTTATTAATTTATTAGTTTTAATATTATCATTTATTGTCATAAACAACTTCTTGATGGTTGAGCAAAATGATGAACAAAGTTTTTTGTTTATTCTGTATTTTCTATTAAAATTTACTGATTTACAAAAATAATGTCTTCCATACTCCATAAAACACATCTTATACCATTATGTACTATTTTAAGGTTTAAAACTACATATAAGTACAAGAAAAAAAATGAAATATTTTTATTTACTTTGATATTTAAAATTTTTACACAATATATATATTAGGTATAATAAGATCTAAGAAGACCATGCTTCAAAAGCAATATCATGGAGATGTTTTTATATAAAGGTACTCAATATTTTACATTATAATAGGTTGAAAAATGCTTATTGCTTCAAATTTATAATATTAATGCAACAAAGTCATAACTATTGTTTATTACTGAAAAATTTTGATAACTATTTTATGGTATATTATTTGTTACGACATTCATTAATATTTTATTTTACATTTCCAATAAATGCATTATTATTTAGCATTAATCAATATAAAATTATTCAGCAATAAGAATTATTTAACATAATACAAACATAATATATTTTTTATATTACCTAGTCATCATATTACTATAATATCAGATACTTGTATCTAAGGTTAAATCCAAAGCAGTAATAGCTGAAGTCTATAGACTGTTAATTAAAACATAATATGTTTTTATATTATAAAAGGCACCATCATATTCTTACCAAATACCAACTAAGAAAAATTACATGCTGTTTTTTTGTAGCCTTGAAGCATTTTAAGTCTTGGCATAATAGTTTTAGTTAAATGGATGATTATTTTTTGGAACTTATATTTGTTTCACTAAAAATTTTTTATAGATAATTAAAAATTAGTATATATATATAATTAATATGGAAAATAGGCATCACCAATAATTTTGAAAGAGTTTCATTCATTTTTTTATCTGTAATTTAAGTTCCTTAGAATAAAATGCATACATCTTATCTTTCTTAAGTTAAAGAACAAATAATATTTTTGAATAATTCCAAATAAATAAGTGGAAAAATTATTTTTGACAGTATGAAATAATAGGTCTAATTATATTAACCATTGTTAAGTGCTACACTAAATGCTAGGTATCAAAATTTTTCATTTAAACACTGTAGCCATCATAATAAAAGTTTAATTATAAGAAAAAATCAATTTACCTACTCAAAAATAAAGATGAGAATTGACTGAAAGTATACTATAACTATACGTGTAACGTTTTTATTTATTTTCTCTTCAAAATTTAAACTAAATGCTAAAACTATCTTTTATTTGTCTCAATAATATTGATGAAATTTATAAGTAAATAAACAAGAACAATATCATAATTGTATTTCATACCAACTAACCTGTTATTTGTAGTTTTTAGGCAACTAGATATTTAAAATTAACTTAAATTTAAATTGACACATTTTAAATAAAACTGATTCTTCACTTGACATCTTTGTGAATTCCAATTATAGTATGCATTATAATGAAAATTTTATTATTACTCAAGTATTAATGTAGTATAGGTATATATATATATATATATTTTAATTGGAAAATTTAGTGTTATGATATTAAAAGAAAAAATTGTATTTGATAGATAAAAGAAAAGCTGCATACAAAAAAGGAATCAAAAAATTTTTTCCAATGAGAAAAACAATTTTAAAATTTGGTAGCAAATGATATAAAAGACATTTTTAATTTATTACTAATTAAATAAATAAATCACAAACCGAAGACAACGATCATTACGTACTAAATAGTATACTGTAATACGATGTGATAAAATACAATTTACAAGAGAAAACAACACGCTGGGGCGGCACGAGGAAAACTGCAGTGCAGCTGAAATGACCAAAATGTAGTTTGACAAGTTTGCCATTCTTACTGTTACATTTCTTATTACATATGACTACACTGTAAGAATTGTTAATTTTTTATCACGACTATAGATAACATTACTAACAAAACCTTAGATCATTTACTATGGATGGGCCAGACTATATCTTTCCTGTGTAAACAATTTGAAGCACATATAAACGACGAGTGTTTCATTGAAATGCATTATCTACGCATGCGCGAATATACTCGTCGCATATTTTATAAATAAACGCGGTATTTAATATTCAAATAAAATAAATAAAAATTCTAATAAAATATAATTTTTTAGTTATCACTCATGAATTCCCAGGGAGAATGCAACAATTTGAATAAATATACGAGTATACTTGCACATGCGCAGATAATGCATCTCAACGAAAGACTCGTCACTTATATGTGCTTCAATCATCAGTACATGGCTCCATCCATAATTTATGATCAGATTTATGATCATCATTTATGATTAGAAAAAAACAGTTTTGTTATTATATTATCATTGATTATAGAATATAAACAAGGTTATATTGCTATACCGAGGAGCCGTACTTCCTTTAAAAAATATTATTTTTATTATAAGTATGAATACATAAAATGTACTTATCAACATAATATATTCACAAGTTCTCTAAGTTTTTCATCACGGTAAAAGAAAATAAATTGGAAAAAATAACTTATAATGTATAAGACATAAACGTAAAAAAAATTTTATTTTATTTTTATTTAGAACGATAAAAATTAGTCCGGTACACACATCGATTATGCTCCAAACAACCATGTATTACTAACCGACATGTCTAAACATGTGGTAAACTTTTATACGGCTGCCTGGAGCACAAACGCGTGCTCCGTTAATATAGACACATTTTCAACACAAAAAACTACGAAAACTTTTTTTTTAACAAATATTTTTGTTAATTACAGACTATATGCATTATAACCGATTATAATTTACTATAATAATCTAATAATTTTTCACGCACTCCTGTGCACTAGCACGAGACACTACTGATAAGCAGTAAGTTTCAAACTAATATATTAAATACATCGAACATGTCTAACAAACTACAAACGTTAATTAATACAACTAGAAATAAAATATTAAAATTAAAAGTATATTAATTTATTATACATAAATATGTTACGTCGATTTCAAAAAATCAGGAACGTTGTTGTACATGAATTCGGCAACCATATCAATTTAAAACTACCGATTGTATAAAGTCGACTAGACTTAAGTAACTAAATTTTTTTAATTTTCTTTATATATGAACGTTATAAAATTAATAGGTAACTTTTTGACTAGTAAAATATTAATTATTAATTTATTTAATCTTTAACTCATTGACAGCAATAAAATATAAACACCTCAAATGAGATCATATAATGAAATATGTCTTCGGCGTCTTCAGTTATTTTTTAGAAATTACTTAGGCAAGTTTTGAAAGTATTTATTTTATTACATTTTAAACTTGTTTTTAAATTGTGTGATTTTATTATTTAAAAAAATTATAACTACTATTATTAAAACAATTATAGAAATATTAAGGAAATAAAAATTAAATTTAAAAATAATAATTATAGTAATAAAATTTAAATAAAGTAAAATAATAATACGAAAAATACATTGCAAACAAAAATATCATAAATAAGTTATCGTATAACTATAAATCAATACTTTTTGTGTCCAATTTTGATTTTTAGCAAATTTTCTTATGAAGGCAATAATACCATTCCTATTTTTTTATTGAATTCCTAATTTGGCCGATGTATCTATTTAAAGACATACATATAAATTATAAACCGTTTTGGGACAAGAATTGCCGCCAACATTCCCATGCACAAATGACTACCTTCAACATGTACAATGTTGCGTCATCGAATAATACCGAATTCATGAGTTCTATAGAAAATATTTTACCTAATAAAATGCATGAATTCAACGTAACATATACATATAACTATAATTAACATTATTTTAAAGAAACATTTTAAAATTAAACATACACAAAATTATAATATATAATAATAATTATTGTATAATAATTACATATATCTATAGGTATTAGACATTAACGCTAGAAAGGTACATAAACATCGATTGTTCAATAGATGTAAAAAAATATTTACCTATCTTTTATTAAAGCTGTTTATTTTTCTAACTATCAACAGATTGAAGAATATTTAACAAACGTGTTATTTGAAAATCAAAGTAGGGAAAATCGTTTTTTAATCCTTCTACAATACTTATTAAATCTGCATTTTTTTTCCACTCAGCTACAAATTCTTCATTCATTTTTGATTCATTTTTTATAAACAAACGGTATTTTCCATTATTAACTTCATCTAAGAATTTTAAATAATTTTGTTTGTAGCTTAATTTATGAATGTTCTAGAAAAAAAATACAAATATAAATTATACTTTCCTCCTATCGAGGATTAGAATATTAAAATTTGGACACATTTTTTCTGCATGGAATTATTTTTAAACTTTTCTGGTTATCATAAATTATTGGTCTATATAGTCGGCCATAAAATTGTCAAAAAATAACATTAACTGTTGTAAAGATTAAAAAGAGTGTCTACTTCATATAGGTACTATTCTACCTACTCGGAAAACTTTTTAAAAAAAATTTAAATACTTATTTCAGAAATGTATTTGAATAATTGATAGTTAAAATATGATATATGTATCAGTTAAAAAAAATTTCGAAGACATTTTAAATAATAAAATTAAAAATTAAATAAAAATTAGTAAATGATTAATACTTGTAAATTAATTTGTAAATAAATAGTTTATAAATAAAAATAAATGCTTAGTATGGAGAATTATTATATTTGTAAAGTATGACCTATTACAAATTAAAGATTCATTATCAAGAACATACAATGTTAAAAAAATCGGGACTCATTTTCTAAGTTAATAGTAGGACAATTTTTATTGGCAATTTTATAGTTCTAATCATACATAAAATATTATGATTTTAAACTAGTTTTGTATTAATATATTTATGTTATTGATTTGGAATTTTCATCAAATTTTAACATCTTTATTATTATTACCTTCATTATAATATTATTCTTAATTATACTTATTATATTATTATTAATTTATAATTGTATGACCCTTGTATTACTATAAAACCAGGAGTAATTAGATAGGTATCTAACTTTTCAGTTTATTTCAGATTAGACTAATTTCATCTTCTAACTACAATTAAAAATTATTTAAAATTATTTGTTGTTAAACCTTAAGTATAATATCTAATTGTTATAAAATGGTTGATAATTCACACATTTATCTAAAATACACTTGGACATATTCAAGATACTTATCCAGCTAGCAATGAATGACTATATAAATTGGTGGGCCTTTCAATAAATTAATTAAAAAAGCGTAAGAGTTATTAAACAAAGTAAGTAAACTTAGTAATTATCTTAACCATTAAATAGTAACAAACAAAATATAACCTTTAGTTTTTTCGCACCAGTATCTTCAATATTTTCATTTAATTCATTGATATCTTTGTGAACGTAGTTGATTTTATCATTTAAACATGTAAGTTTACTTTCCAATTCTTTTTTATCAAATTGTAAATCATTAAAAGTTCTATCAAATTTTTTACATTCCTGTAAAATAATTATAAAAAATAATGTTTTAATTTATTAAAAAGTTGGTTTTTAAATATTTTACTTATAATTTCCATATACATATTAACTGTTAAGTATGAACAAATATGATGTATTTTGGAAATTTTAAAATTATTTTTAAATTATATATCTTCCTTATAAAATATAATTAAGATTAAGTGCTGCAGTAATTAACATTGCCAAATTTACATTTTTAATATTTTTTATATCCATTCTTAAATGATCAAGTTTCTTCAAAAATTTTTGTTTGGTTTCATTTTTTCCCTTTAAACGAATATCCTTGGCTGCAACTTTATTATATATTATTGCACGTCTTGATATGCTTAATTCTAAATCCGTCATAATTTTTTTTAATGTTTTTTTTAATTGACTTTCTCTTATCTAAAAATAATAATAATTTGCTAGATTAATTTAGCAAAGCAATGATATTGTCTATCACACTTAACTGTTAAATAATGAAATAAAGTTTACCTACATTACCTGCATTCTATGGATCTCATGTTTCATAGCATCAATATCACCTAAATCACCTTCCTTATTTTTTATTTCGTTTTTGATATCAACAAGCAACTGAACTTTTGCATCCCATGATTTACTTTCAAGTTGTTTTTCATTATAAGTGTTTTTTATTTCGTTTAAATCATTTTTCAATAATTTTAATTTATCTATATATTCTAAATTTTGTTTTTCATTTTCCTATATAATATAACACTATAGTTATAAATAGTAAAAATATGTACTTTGTAAGTTTATTAATATGCATTATGTGAATTTACTAAGTAAAAATGTATATTAAATAAGTTATGTCATGGCTATAAATACTAAGTATTTTTATTAAGTATAAATACTTAGTATTTATAATCAATGGTTGTATATTAAAATGTTAGTGATCACATTAACCTTCAATTCAGCTAAATAAGAACTATGTAACCAATCATTTTCATTCAAAAGTTGATTACTTTTCCCTTTATTTTTGCTAAAATTTTCATTCAGTTTCAAAATTGTACTTCTCATATTAGTAAGAGTTCTTTTATACTGATCAACTTCCTTAGATAAAACCGTTATTTCTTGTTCTAGTTTTATATTCTTTGTGTCCATTACCAAAGCATCTAAAACATATATTTGTATACAATTTATAGAAACATACCTGGTTAGTAGATAATTATATAAAACAATTTAAACTTTGCAAATTAAAAAATGTTTTTTAAAATATAGGTATGTCAATATCTCAAATAATTACTAATAAAAATAGAACAAAGAAAGAAAAATTTAAATTTTTCCATTGAAATTTGGAAAAATTATTATATTTATAACTATTATTGCAGCAATAATTTTGTAAAATTATTAATAGTTTAATAATATTATATGTTATAATATTTTATTAAATTTGAGAATTTAGACCCATTGCAATATAATGTACCTATTGTAATTGGTTGTGGCGCAACCAGGATTGGTTTTAGGGGATGGGGAGGGGGGTTGTGAATTTGGAAAAAATAAACAGGTGTTTGGTGGGGATAAGGAAGTAAATTTAAGTTAGTATTATGAGTAAAATATTTAAATTTATAATTTAAGTTAAAATTTTACATTTTATATATTTAAGTACAATATATTTACTTACATTTACGTACTTTATTGAGTTCATTTAATTGTTTATTACGCTGATCAAGTAGTTGAATATTTTTATTTTGATTCTCAACCCAACATTGTTTCAATAAATCAGTTTCTTTTTGAATTTGATCAATTTTGAGTTTAACTTTATCAATCTGCATCTGAGGAGTAACCATACAGCCCTCCTAAAATTCAAAAAAAATAATTAAAATAAAATGTAATAGAATACTTATTAAATTAATTATTTTTCTTGCATCTTGTTTTTTCTTTATAGTTTCCATCTGTTTATTTTCCAAATCAATTTGTTTTGATTTATTTTGTATATCAATATAGAGTTTTTTCAGTTCTGAATCTAATGTAGATAAGGCAAATCCTAGATCATTCAAAAATGTTGTATTCTTTTCTATATCATTTTCTAAATTTGAACTAGTAGTACGATATTGTTCCAATTTTAATAATGATTGAGACAAATTGTTTTCAAAACCAACAAGTATTAATTCCTATATTTAAAAATGAAAAACACATTAATTAATAATATAATTTTTATTAAGTGAAATAATACATGTTCTTTATTTTGAATTTTAAGTTTTGATATTCTGTTATTTATTTGAACACAATTATTATTTGCAAATAATTGTTTTTTCAATTCATTTAAAACATCTTCTTCATATTTTAATTTCAAACTCGATTTTTTGTCAAGGAAATGTAATGATGTATTCATTTCATTTTCAATTGATTTTTGATCCTGTAATAAAATAAACAAGTATTTAGCATTTTATAAATAAGTACATTTATAAAATACATACCAATATAACTTGATTTAAGTTAAGGTTTTGAAATTCGGTTATTTGTATAATTTTGGAATATTCATCTTTTAAACAGTTAAATTTATCTAAATTAATTTTAAAATTATTTTGTAAATTATTATTTTCTTGTTTATATTTATTTAAAAAACTGAGTAGATCGTTATTTTTATGCAATTCTTCAAGGACACTGTGCTTGAAACTATTTGCTTCCATTAGTAATGCATGATATTTATTTTTTGATTCTCTAAAAAAATATTTTTCTATGTATACAATGCATATAAACCTTAAGTATAAGCTAATGTATTTTATAATAAATGTTTGGGTTATTACTGGAGATCAATTTTTATCTTTTGAAAACATTTATCACGTTGTTGAATACTAATTAAGACTTCGTTCCATAATAAAGTAATTTTTATATTATCTCCATTAATAGCATCAAGATCTGTTGAGCTATCCATAACTTTTTGTTTTAATAATTCTCTTTCATTATACTTTGTCTCCGCTTGTTCACTTAATTGTTTCATACGATCTTCCAATCGAAGAATCTCTTGAGTTAAAGATAACAATAACAAATCCTTATTATAAAATAAACAGTACTTAGTATACAATACTAGTTGAATTTATAACTATATTATTGAGATAAAGAAATAATAACTTGTTTTTGTTGATCGTTTAATAATTTTTTTTTATAATGCTTCGCTTGAGATTTTTTTTGATTACAAATATTAAATGTAATTTCTTGTTCTTTTTCATATTTTGTAAGTTCTTTTAAAAGTCCTCGACTACAATCTAATTGTCTCTTTAGAGCTAAAACTATAAATGTGTAAAATATAAAAATTAATTAAACAAAAATTAAAATTTCTATATCAACTTTTTTTTGTATGAAGTGTTGTTTTTGTTATAATATCATTATGGCGTTGTTTTCCTTGGCTAACACTTGTTTCAACTTCTTTTTTGGTTTTTTCAAAATCTTTTTTCATTTCATGGAATTTACTTAATAAACCATGTTGGGTTTCTATACGAGAAGTTGTATTGTTTATTTCCTTTATAAATGACAATTTTTCATTTTGTTTTGATTTAATTTCTTTTTCCTAATAAATAGATAATAACATTTTTAACAGAGCAGAGAAATATAGAATAATGGATGTTATTATTTATTTTAGATATACTTAATTAAACTTACTATTTTAAGTACTTCTTCCTGGATATTATCTCTTTGTTTTAATAAATGTTGTTTCAGTGTATTTTGAAATCTCACCATAACAGGATTATTTGGTTCAAGTACTATTAGTTGGTTGTTTATTATTTCATTATTGATGGATGGGGGAATAATAGATGTCATATTACTATTCATACTTTCAACATCTACAGAGCTATTTTCTGAACAACTTTGGTAAGTTACTGATTCTAAAACATTTAAAAAAATGAATCAGTATTTTCTAAACTGTACCATATTTACATATCTTCATACTTGAAAAATAGTATTTTTATTATATTAAAACCAAAATGAATTATAAATTAGTGCTGTCATTTCATAATAGAGACCGGTCCAATAAGAATAAAATTTTTAATACTATAAAAAGAACCCTTGTTGATCATCCAACCATAACTAAATACTGTTTAGTAGAATATATATTAAGCAAACTACATACATTAACATTAACACTGCTGTTTACATATTCTTATATATGTATATATACATATATCCTCATTCAAATCAACAAATAACCTTCCATAAATTATACGCTGAACAATTAAAATACCTATAATATTGATAAAAGTTTCCAAAAATGTATACATCAAACACAATTATTATACTAAATATACCAACTATAAATTATAATAATTTTATTGAAAGTGTATAAGCATGAAAGAAATTAGCAATTATAAGCTACAAAAATCTTTATTTTTGGTAGTATATTATTGTACATTTAAATCATATAAAAACAATATCTAACCATATAAATGCATATGTGCAATTAAAAGATCAAATAATAAAAGCATATGACATCAGTAATTTTAGAATTTGATAATGACGATTTTTCATACTTGCAAAAATGTTGAGTGCTTTATTTAGATTAATTATTGATGTTTTAACTCTTTCTATAGTAATAACCAATAAATCTTTAGATGATCATCACCCATAGTATGATTTTAGTTGTTTAAAATACGAAAATAAACGTTAACTATATCTAGTTATAGATACTGTGGAAACAGGTAAAGTAATAAGGATAGTGATTATTTTTATTTCAGAGTAACTTTTAGGCAATCGATATTTTTAAAAAATAATAAATATCATGAGAACCATCATTATTTGTCTTAAAACTTTAACCAATTATTGTTTTCATATAAAACGCTAGATTTTTATTTAGACTAATTGATATAGTTAATATATAGCTAATTATTGTTATAATTTATTTTTTTAGTTATAGTAGATTGCCGATAAGATATCATTTACTCTTAAGGTGTACTCGGCAGCCGGCTCAAAGCTACTTTAAAATTTAGACTTGGGCAAATACATACTCATAACCCCCTCACCCCTCCAAATAATGCTCAGGTTTAAATTAGTCAGAAGTAATTTTTTTCAATAGTCTATAGTAAAAGTACAAAAATGTAAGTGTAACACATCAAACATTTTCAAATTTAGAACTAAAAAATGATATTTTTCACACAGGTAATTTACTACAAGTACATTTTAATATTTTATTCTAAGTTTTGGAGACAGCGTTTTATTTTTATATTGTTAAATATTAAATGATAATTTAGAATTCAAATTATCTGTGAAATTCTTGTGACTGTTTATTTATAGTAGGATTTTGTTTTTATTATTTGTGGTTATCTCAAACGTAGGTCTATAGAACCCTTTAATAAGATCTTTTTGTAATAATTATTGTTTTCTACATTTATCATTATTTTATTATCACGTATTACTAAATAATACAACTATATTAAAGACTTCTTATGGATTTCTTAATAAAAAATATTCATTAAGTTTAATTAAGGTTTTTTTTAAGACCAAGTTTATATATCATATTTCATAAATTTAAATTACACATTAGTATCAAATAAGGATAGCATTAACCAACAGGGTAATAGAGCTTAAAAGCTAGAATAAGTATTTAGGAGATATTAGATGTATTTTTTAATAGATACTTGTAGTAGTTACTTAATAATCTATTAAGTATAACCCACAATATTTAACTTAGTGATTCACTAGGCCTATCCAATCCTTTATGGTATTATATTACATTATTTTCTTACCCATTGTATTAATACTTCTGTTACTATCACGATTTAAGACTTTATCAATATTAACATCACTATAGTTTTTAAACAATTTTTTTATCATAAATTTACTTATTAAAATGTTTCATATAATTAAATTCTCCAGGTTGACATTTCAACTTTAAAAAAAAATTATAATTTTAAATAATGCTTACAATGTATGTAATATTACACATATGCTGAGTACTTTACTATATGTAATATTGGTTACTATGACAATATTCATAAGTATAAATACAAAGTATTTGTGTAATTGTTTCAATGATGTAGAAGCATCAGTTAATAAAACCTAATAAATAAATATACACAAATAAAAAATGGGAAGGTTAATTAAATTCCTATTTTTCTTTACCTTGAGTACTCCATTTATAGATATTATTTTGATTATATAATACCTTATAATATTAACACAAAGGATGATGAAAAATAAAAATAAAATTGTGTACTTATATAGTTATATACTTATTTATATGTATACATGAGTTATTTTATTTACATATGTTTAAAATAGTTATAAATATTTGTATTATATATTCATAATTACACATACATTAGAGTAAGGTGAATTGAATTAAAATATAACCAAAGGGTAGTGTTATTTAGCTAATTTAAAATATTATTTGTTTATATTTTTAATATTCAATAGATAATAACTATTTCAATATAATACAAGTTATATAAACAATGTAAGAAATTATAAAAGACTGATTTCAATACATAAATGTATATATATTGTTAAAACCTAAGTTATTTCAATAATTTAAACATTCAAATTGAAAGAAAAAAATGGATATTTTTTAAAAATAAAATCACCAATCAATCATCAAAATGTAATATATAAGAATTATTTTGATAAAACAAAAATATTCTTACTGAGAATAAATCTAAAATGTATACAATATTTTAATCACAATATAAATAATAAAACACACAATTACAATTATTCTTCGGTTCTATATAAGATTTGTTATTTAAAAAAATCTTATAGCTACCACTTCCAACACTATATTAATAACTATTATAGACAACAAATATAATATAAAATAAAATACTATAAGTTTCTACAATTTTCACAAATACATTTACATTTAAAATAATAAGAATATTTATTGAAATAAAATTGTGCAATCTATTTTATAATTAGACAATTCAAATTAATTCTACATTATATTTGATTGATATATTTAAGCAAACCATTATGTGAAAAAATAATTCAATGTATTGTATAAATAAATATTTTTCTATTTTATACTTTATAAATATAAATTAACTTAAGTAGAGGCTGATTGATTTATAAACAAAATACATTTTTCTGAAAAAAGTTATGGAAAAAAAAATAGTAAAATCAAAAATTAAATTAAAAATATATATATAAAACATAATATTTGTTTGTTTATTTTTACTATACATATATAATATGATCCAGTTTTAAAAGTTTTTGACATAATAAGGAGATCAATAATCAATTTTTAGTACAATTATTTTTAATTTGCTGTTTGAATTTAAAAACAATCAACAGTATCATAATATATCATGTCTGTTAGTATGAGATACAGTTTTAAAGGACATTAGGTTTTTTAGCAAATAAATATCACGAATGCATAAATAATAATATTAAATTTAATTAATAAAAACAATTATAGTTGTTATAATAGTAATACATTTAATTTTATAAAAAAAAAAAAAAAGAAATTTTAATAGAATTTATTTTCTACACAAACATAACTCAAATATTAGAGTAAAATAATTTTTATTAGAATATACTTCATGTTAGTAATTTAAATGATGGCGTTAATCAATAATTATCTTAAATATTATCCCTAAAATTAAAAAAAAATTATATAAAACATTTGTAATTGATCTCCTATACAAAATATTTTTTTTTATAGAAATTATTCAATCAAAGTGGTAGGTTTGCATAAAAATTAAAATATTTAAAATTAACCACTTTTAAAGTCAATTGTGTTATTAATATGTATTCATAGCTGTAATTTATTCCTAAATAATCTAAAAATATCTCAATAATTATTTGTTATTTTCTATTTGATGATGATAAAGTATGATAAGTATCTAAACTAGATTGAATTTGTTGCATGTGAATCTCTACACAATTTTCAAAAGATTTTTGGTTTGACTGACTTAGTTTGAGTTTTATTTCAACCATAGTTCTTTTTAAAGCATCTAACTCATATGCAGTAGGTTCATTATCAGTTAATGTTTTCACCTGAAGCATTAAAGCTAATAAATCTTTAATTAAAGCCAACATTGGTTGGTCGTCTGCCTTAAAACCAAAATCGGTTATTCCTATATTATGCTCAATCATCTGTTCTGCTTCATCAAAAGATTGATTCTGCAAATAATCTGTGATCAATGGCCAGGTTTCAGCTTCTTCAGGCGCTAATACTTTAATTTCTTCACTAAGGACACACATTATTGATGTTAAATTGAGGTTTAAATTATCCAAATCTAAAACAATTTTAGCATAACGACTTTGAAATTCAGGTGTTATATCTTCATTGTATAATATCATTCGTTCAGCTTCAGAATTCATATTACGTAATGCTTGTACATATTGTTTTTTGGCAGTCAAAATTTTTCTAAATTTTACTGTAGATTCTAAAAGTTTCATTGAATACTGTGGAGCTGTGTTATGGTCAGATTTTAAAGTATCTACTTTAGTTTCAGGTGATATTGAACGGTTATGGTAAGGTACACGTGGACGACACATTTGTAATAATAAATTTTTTGAAATTGTTTCTGGAGGTTGATTTGAACATACTTCAAAATCAGGGACAGAGTGAGTACCTAAACCAGGTTTATCAAAGTGTATTCTATAAGTATTATTAGAAACATCCAAGGCTTCAATTGTACCATTAAATAAACCATCTTCAGTGCTAATCCTTAACATAGCAGTTACTTTGGTACCAACAGTAAGCTGTAAGGGTATTTCATCAGGTATATCTTTAAAATATACTTCATCTCTAGCTTTTCTTTGCTGTAACAATCTTATTTTTTTTCTTCTCCGATCTAATTCTCGAATTTCTTCATCAAAAAAATTTTGAGAACATCTTCGAGGTTTACCCATCATTCGTCGTAACATACACCACTCACTTCTAGTCATGGTTTTAATTTTAAATGAAGGGAAAAAATCTTGTACGCACATCATAAAATCAGATTCGCATAAAAGAGGTTTATCAATATTGCTATAAAACCATTCATAATATATCCAGTTTTTAGCTTTTGGCAAGTGAAATATTTTTCTTAATCTTAATCCAACATTTTGACAACGTTTACGTTCAAGAGAGTCTGATTTTGGTTTTGTTATTGGTACTATATTTTTGGGAGTTTCAACTTTTAATGGTTTTTGTTTTGTAACACCATTTTCAGTAGATTTTTTTGGTGTACTCTTATTAGGAGTTTTTAATTTAATTGTTGGAGTTATTGGTTTAACAGTACTTTTTGGAGTTGATAATTTTTGATTTATAATTTTTTCTTGTTTAGGTGTTTTAGGGGTTTTTAATTCAAATTTAGAATCAATTGTTTTTTTGGGAGTATATTTTTTTGGAGAATTAACATACATCATGCGTTCTTGTTTTACAGAAGGATTTTTAGATGTGTTAAATACTTCTTCATCAAAAAATAATTTATTTTTTTTCCTTATACGAGCAGGCATGCCTCTTCTATTTAGTTTATCTTTTCCTGAATTTAATGTATCTGCTGCTTTAGGACTATTTCTTTTATTTACAGGCTGTAAACCTAAAACAGCTGGACATAATTTTGTTTGGCCACATTCATCATCCATATCCATATCACTACTATCTGAATCCATTTTTAATTTATTTATAATATATATTTATAAATACCTCAGATTTATAATAATGAATATATTTAATAAATTACAATGTCATCAAATATTTTTCAAATGTATGAGAATCGATAATATACCAAATTGCAGTACGACCATAATAAGCTGAAACAAAAAAATATAAATTGTTAAGAATTAAAAAAAAATGTTTTTGTAGAAATAATTGGTAATGAATAAAGGAATTAAGGAAATATTTTTCATGAAAAGCTTATTGTATGATTTTGAAAATAGATAGTATATATTATATTAATGTATCATTCAGCAGCCCATTTTACTTCTTAAGTTTAATCCTGCATGTAATATATTTTAATAAGATAATTTTATCAAGGTAAATTTAAAATATGTGGCTAGAATTTATTAACATATATTTTTAATTTAGCATACAATTATTTAAAATAATTAAGCTATTTATTTATTTAAAAATTATTTGTACTTGTTTTTATGCAAATTCATTGTTTAAAATACTTTTAAAGTTAATAATTTTTGATTAATTAAAAAGTTTTTAAGATGGGTATTAAATACGATTGTAAAACAAAAATTAATAGGTGAATAAAACTATTCAACATTTTAATACAATCAATTATAAATACATTTAATTTATTACTCATCAGTGTTTTATAAATGATAAATCTTTTAAATATATTAATGTATTAGAAATTTTGTTTCTGGAATTAAAAATGGTGATACTTAAAAAATAAAATTTTGAAATGGATAAATAATAGTCTATTTTGATAACTTTTCAGAATATAACTAGATGATAAACTAAATTAATCAAAATATTTCTCATAAACAAAATTCAATAATTTAATAAAGTTAAATTAAATTAAATAATTTAAATAGTGCTTGAATAAATATATATACAAATACATGTCATTTTCTTTATCAAGCATATAATAGGTCAATAAATTCAAGTAATGTGGACAAATTGGATACAACTATCAAAATATATTCAACTACCTTTATGGGTTATTTATCAAAAATATAACTTTGAAATTTAATGTTATGAACTAATTAATATTTCATAAAGTATAAAGGATTATCTTATAAATATCTATTAATTTAAACAAAATAATTTAGAAAACTTAATATTCAAATTTGTTTCTTAATTAATGAAAGTATATTTTAATATATATATATTTTCATTGACCAAATAAATCCAATAAATGAATATAATACAAAGTTTGAAGATTAGAAGCATATCATTTTGCCACATCTAACAAATTCAAATACGATAGACATTAGTACAAACCAGGTCAAACTGTCAGCTAATTAATTTTAACACTAACTCAAATATATGGTATTTCAATTTTGATCCTACTCTCAGTTGAAAAAAAAATTGCAAATAAATAGGTATTGTTTACTTATCCCATGACCTTAGGTTTATAATGAAATTTATAAAACCAAAATAAATAAGAATCACATATTCAAACCATATATTTTTGATTAATATGATATTAATGCAAATAACTGTCACAATGGAAACGAGGAATGGATGTAAGCAACATTTTACGTCTAGAGTTCCAAAAGATATTTAAACGAACTATTATTTGAAAGGAAATGGCGCAAACAATTCTATCAGTTGTTGTTTAAATAATTTCTAAAACGATAGCAATTGTATATTAGCTGAATATTTTAATTGTACTTACAAAATATCCATGGTTTGGGTAATACAACGATGAAATTATTTGTAATAAATGAACACACAAAATTAAAATTTTAGCACGGAATCAAATGAATTGTGAATTTGTAAATTTCGTAAAAATCGCGGAGGAAAACATTTCCCAGTTTAAATTCCACATTATCGCAAGGTGCACCAATAGTATTTTTCAGACGCTTTACAGTGATGTAACACTTGAGAAACTAATCGTTATCACCAAAAGATTTTAAAAAAAATCAATACATTTTGTTGGTTATGTATAAAAAATATAAATTATGTTCAAAAGGCTCAACATTTCTAGCATTTAAAATTTAATAGTCATAAAGATTAAAATATTTTAAATATTAATTAACTTTTAACCCAAAAATGTATTAAGTTTAAATAGGTATACCAATGTATATTATACACTTAACTATTACCGTTCATTTTTTTAAGTACAATTATACATTTTATTCTAGTACATAAACCATTCTGTAATAATTATTTGTAAGTATTTTAATTATGAGGATTTAAAAATATAGTATATTTAAATTCAAACTTTATGAACAAATTTCATTTTTATTTTTTACAAAATAGAAACATACAATTATTTTTGTTACTTACTGAGTCTTGATAAATTAATATTGTACAAATTAGTAATTTTATTTTACTTTTTGATTAGATTTTAAGAAATATTTTTTTTATGCTATTCATTATTTCCTATGACAAATTCATTTTATGTTCTAGAAAATTATAAAAATTAAAATTAATTGAAAATTTTTCATTTTATCCTAAAAATTAATTCTATAACCATTATAGTTAATTCATTTTTAATGTTTGTGTATTCTGTATTTTTCAGATACTTAAAATGTCCTTAATTGATGGAAGTAAACCGTGGTTAAATGAAGAAACTGACAATGCTTCTGATAACACTGCATTAATTATAAAAGAAGAACGCAAAGGAATTGCATGTATAAAAAAAGAATTTATCATTGAAGGTCATATACCCAAGTTAGCTATTAATTGTGTTTCTGACACAGATAAAACCCAATTAAATGAAGATGAACCACCTTCTAAAAAACAAAAGTGTAGTAAAAGTGTACTGAAAGGTCAGAATAAGTCTAGAAATTGTACATACTATCAGATTCCTACTGAACATTTATGTTCACATCTTATTGAAGGTATTGATAATGGTTCTTGTTTATATGATAAATGTAAATTTATACATGATGTAAAGGAATATTTAGAAAAAAAACCAAATGATATTGACAAAACATGTTATGTTTATTCTATTAAGGGTCGTTGCCCCAGAGGACTTACTTGTAGGTATGGAAGTAGTCACATTGAAAATGGTAAAAATATTATTGACCAAATTAAATATGATACTTGGATCAAGAATGAAAAACTTTGTAGAACTTTAAGTAAAGAAAACATGTTAAAACTACGAAAAAAATTATATAATTTTGATATAAGTGACAAAGCAGTTAAAAAAATTGATAATGATAAAAATGTAGGACCTTTGATTGAAGAAAGTTCCAAAAAAATTTGTTGGAAAGATAAATTATACCTTGCACCTTTAACTACTGTTGGTAATTTACCTTTTCGTAGAATTTGTAAAGAATTTGGTGCTGATATAACCTGTAGTGAAATGGTTTTAGCATCAAGTTTGTTACAAGGACACAATCAAGAATGGGCATTGACTAAAAGACATGAAACAGAAGATATTTTTGGAATCCAAGTATGTGGCAATAACCCATATATGTTGAGTAAAAGTGTACAAGTCCTTCAAGAAAATGTAGACATGGATTTTTTAGACTTAAATTTAGGATGTCCATTAGATCAAATTTACAAACAAGGTGCAGGTAGTGGTTTGCTATTAAGAAGTAAAAAACTAGAAGTTTGCCTAAAAAGTATGAAAACTGTGCTTAATGTACCTCTTACTGTAAAAACCCGGTCTGGTGTTACTAAAGACCATAATATTGTACACGATTTAATACCTATGTTTAAAGATAGTGGAGTTTCACTTATAACAGTTCATGGAAGATCTAGAGATCAGAGATATACTAAAATTGCTGATTGGAATTATGTAAATAAATGCGCAAAATTAGCCAATCCAATACCAGTATTTAGTAGTGGAGATATTATGTCTTATGAAGAATATGAACATTCTAAAGTAGAATTTCCAGATATCACTGGTGTTATGATCGGTCGTGGGGCTTTAATAAAACCTTGGATTTTTAAAGAAATTAAAGAAAAACGTCATTGGGATATAAGTAGTAATGAGCGATTAGAAATTTTAAGAACATTTATAAAATATGGTCTCGACCACTGGGGCAGTGATACACGAGGTGTTGAAACAACCAGAAGATTTTTATTGGAATGGCTATCATTTTGTTACCGATATATACCTGTTGGTATTTTAGAACATGTACCACAAAAAATCAATGAGAGACCACCACATTATAAAGGAAGGGATGAGTTAGAGACATTAATGGCTAGTGGAAATTGTGCTGATTGGATAGAAATCAGTGAAATGTTATTGGGACCAATACCAGATGGATTTCAATTTCTACCCAAACATAAAGCTAATTCTTGGAAATAATTACCAGTAATTGATACTTGAAAATTAATTGGATTTTTTAAGTGTATAGTTTATGTACCAAATATTTTATTATTAAACCATGTATGTTGAATGTTTTATTTTTTGTGTTTTAATAAATGTTAGAAACATTTCTGAGTTAGTGCCACTTATTCGATTCTTAATTATTTTATAGTCTATTTAATATTTCTGTTTGTTAGAAATGTTGGATTCTGAATTAAGAAAAATTAGTTATTTTGGTTTTAAATTTATTTTTTATTTTTATTTGTCTACTAAAACATTGAATAATAAAACTGCATAAAAGTATCATAAAGCAACTGTATAATATTAAAAAATTGTAGTCTAGTACATACCAAATATTTCTTTATCGTATCCATATCACAAAATGGAACCTCAATTTTTATTATATTTCAATGAGTGCAACATCTCTATGTACCTAACCTATGTTGAAAACCCTCATAAATTTTTTTTAAAATTAACCGTTAATGTTTTATTAAATGGACGATAGTACAATATTTTATTATTGTAATAAATAAACCTTTGCAGATAATTTTAAATTAATTAATAAGTAAACGATAAAAAAAAATTAATTTATACAAGCATTCACAAATAAATTTTTTTTATAATCCAACAAATTAAATTTTTTATATTATACGAACAGTTTTGTTAACATTTTTATTGATTAATTCTTTTTCCATTTTTTTCTTCTGTTCTTTAAATGCTAAAGTGTTAGCCTTTCTTTCCATTCTCCTTTCCTGAAAACCAAGAAATTAAGTAGAACATATTATTAAAGAAAATTTAATTTTTCTTTCTAATCATACCTGTCTAAAATTTTTAAGTGCTCTTTTACGTAATAATTTTTGTTCGGGAGTCTCGTCTTTTGGTCTTATAGACAACATAGACAGAGCAGATATTACTGATTTGGAGTCAGATTTTGCTGTATCTTTATTGTCCAAAGACTTCAATGCTTTAGCTGTAAGTCTTTGTTGTATTATTGGAACTCCAGTTTTAGGATTTATTCGTATTTTTTGAATCTAAATAATATTTATTGTTATTCATTTAAAAATATATTCATTTTCATTCAAGATACATACTGGTGGGTCTTTAATAAGTGCAGGGTGGTTATAAATATTAGAATACGTAGAAAGAATACTTTCACAATCCCATTTTTTTTCACCAGAATTTTCAACAGGTACTTTATATGTAGGTTCTTCTTGATCTGAATCACTATCAAATATTAAAGCAGCTGTTCTATCTGTAGGTATTTCATCCTAAAAAAAATGTCTATACAACTTACAGTTAAAAAATATTCAACATTTAAATTTAATACTCTTTTCATGTTTAATTCAAATTCTTCAGCTGCTTTTTTAATCAGTTCAGATTCCATTGTTAATGTACCTTCAATTTCTTCAGTTTCTAATGCTCCAATATCTACATCATCATATGCAGAAAACATCTAATAAAATAATATTAATTTAACATTACATAATCTCATTATTTTCCTACATTCAAAATAAATTACTCTATGTGTGTGAAAATATGCCTCTGCATTTATATTGTGTAAAAATGAACTCTGCATGAATTAAGTGAAGTATTTCATTCAGGGTAATACAAATTTATAGAAATAACTATTGAATATTTTTTTTGTCTCGTAATATTTAAAGTTTAATATTAGCAATAAATTAACTATTTAAAAAAATTATAATCATAATATCACTAGGTAAATCACTGAAAGAGAGACTGCCCAGAAACCAAGAACACTCGTGTTCAATTTCTCCACTTAATCTCATTATTTTATTTAAAAATTTTCCAATACTATGATCTTTATATTGTATCATTTATAATTTATAATCTGTTAAATCAATTTACAATATTTTTGATGCAGACTCACCAACCAAAATGTAAATATTACAATCTATCCTTCAATATGGGAGAAAAAAAACAATTGTAGATAACAATCTCCCAAAAAATTTTATATAAAGATAAAGGTAATTATACTTGTTCAAATTGGTCATCCAATAATTTTAAATTTTCATTTCTTCTGATAATAGAACTAGACATGGAATAATCAGTAAAACGTGATTTTGTATCATCCATGTTTAAACTACCAACTTCATCATCAGCCTCACTATCATATTGATGATCACATTCTTCAATAACATCTTCTAATTCATTACTTTCATCATCTGATCTAAATTCCAGTTATAAACAATATAGGTACATCACTAATAATTAAAAAGTATAATTAAATTATTTACCCAGCTTGATTTGCTATGACCACAAAATCATCTTCCAACTCATTTTCTGGATTTTCAAAATCAAAATCATCATCCATTGCAGCAACAATATCAGGATCCAAATCCAAACGTAAACCTTAAAGATTTCACAATATAACTAAAAAATGTTCTAATTTATTATTATTTTAGAAGTTACTAAAAGTTACCTGATTGAGGTGCTGCTTTATTTAACATGCCAACTTTTTCCTCTACTTCAGACTCAAATATTGAAGAAGGTAACATAACCTTAGGTTTTTCTTTCTTTATAAAAAATTAAATAATACATTTTATATTTATTGAAATTAATAAGAATGATAATTTACTAAATGTAAATTTGTTATTTACCTTTTCTTTGCTATAGTTAGTCGGAGCAGGCAACAATACAAAATCATTTGACCGACATTCTTTTAAATGTTGCAAGTAATCATAATCATCATCAAAATAAATCCCATATTTTGCTTCTTCATCTTTATTTTTTCTCTAAAAAAATATTATTCAAATTTTATTAAATAACACAAATTTTCTTATTTCAAAAAAATAAAGGTACTAACTGCTCTTGATTGAGTTGGTTTTTGAGGTACCAAAACATTTTGTGGAGCTGTTTCGTCAGCAACAAGTGGGTCATGCTGACTTCTATGAACCACATGGAAAGTGACTGAGTTTTTCTTTTCAATAAATTTTTTCTTAGTTTTAGGCTATAAAAAATAAAAATTTAATTTTGATTAATTAATATTATAGGGATCTTAAAATATTAATTTGCACCTATATATATAAGCTAAATCAAGCTTATTATAAAAGCTTATAAAAGTTCAAACTATAGTAATCATGAGTCTTCTCCTTCCAATACTTCATAAAGTCAAAAAAAATATATATTAAGATTTCTTTAATTTAAGAAAATAAATATATATAGGATAATAAAAATAATACATATATATATATTTGAGTGTTTGGTTATACACTTCTAATTAAACATGAATTTTTATAAACTATAGATGATTATTATTTAGTAATTTTGTGAAAATCAAAAATCAAAAAATTAGGTATAGAAGCTGTTCTAAATATAACAATAAACTAATAGCTAATATCAAATAGATAAGTGTTATGGAATAATTTATAGACATAAATTTAATAGTAAAAAATTTCATAAATTACCAAGTATTATAAATTTAGAGGATAATAGTAAAAGTACTTTAAAAAGTAAATAGATTTGATGCATTTTTTATTTTAATAATGGATTTGGTGTGGTTGGAATTTTAGGGAGTTATTAAATATTTTGAAATATTTAAGTTATAGGACAAAGACCAATTTTTAAAATTATTATTGTAATATTTTATATTTATGTACTATTATTGTAATATATTATACTTGTTGAATAAACATTTAAAAATATATAAATATCTAATTCGAACTGATTATATATATATATAATGTATTACAATTAGAATAAAAATAAATTAATATATTATTTTTTACTTAAAAACTTTTGACTTACCATTATAATAAAATTTATATTCCTATGATTCAAATACCTGAAATGTTTGACCAGAAATTCAAGATTATTATTGAACACCAAAACTTTCAAAAAAAATATTTACAAGAAATAAACATGTTTATAGAGTAATGATTTATAGTGTCAATAGTGTTATCAAATACAGCCTTACCAGACTGACGCAAATTAAATATTGTAAGTCTTGAAATACAAACTGTACCTCTTGTTATAATAATTATAATTCCTAAAGACGTTAATATTATATTATGTAAAAAAATGGTTAGTCGTGTGTCCTAGTTATTAAGTTATTTAAGACTTAAATTTCTATTATATAATAATAATCAGTAACAATACCATTGGGCATACTTATTAGTTCTCCTGAAATGATGAGATCCCAAAAAAAAAAAATGCTTAATATTTATTTACTTCTAAATCCCAGCCCTACTGATAAGTATTCACAATATTTATTAACCATATTTTAGGATAACCACGCGACCATTATTTTTTATCACTTATCAGTTTCCATTTTGTTTTCACCAATTCTGTGTTATTATTATAATTTGGCATTTTTAGAAATCAGCTGCTTTTATTGTACAACTCAACCAACTTCATACTGCCTATGAACACAAATTTTTACTACAATAATTGTTATCATTTATCAATATGTTATTGGCTATTTGGTTTCTAGAATGAAAAAGTAGACGCTAAATTATTCTTATTCTCGTCGTTAACAATTATAAGTTGGGAATTTTATCAGTGGATCGTTAAGTCCGACAACAAATAATCTTCAATCTCGGATAGAAATGGCGAGTAAGTATCAAAATTAATTATATTTAAAACAGAGGTATATTTGTTTTGTATAATATTACTTAATGTTTATTCTGTTATAGGAGGTAATGCTAGAGATCTTGCTCGAGAAAAGAACCAAAAGAAACAACAGGAAATAGCCAAGAAAAAGGGAATAGCCGACAAAGGTTCCAACGCAGGATTAACGTTGGAACAAAGAAAACAAAGGTGTGTGAAACATTTTCAACATATTGTAATAATGAAATTTTAAAATAAATGCTTTTTGGTACTTCTTTAATTAAATTATAGTGTTTGTAGTTGTTAATTAATTTATTAGATGTTTGTTTATTAGATTTAATAGAAAAAATAATATGTATATTTGAAAAATAGAAACTGACCCAATTTTCTTTAAAACAAATTTACTTTTATTATAAAGTTTAATTGTATGCCCAAAAATCTATTTTTGTTTAGAAAAATCTAACCACTTCAATATTTGATTATAGACCAATACTTAGAAAACTATTTTAAAACTAAATACATTTCAGATAAAATTATGTTTGTTACCACTGATAAAATAAATAATTTGTTTACTTAAACCAATTTTAAACTATGTAATAAATATATTTTACTTATGTATATGTATTTATGTATTTATATAATTAATTATTTAATTAAAATATTTTATTTTCAGGGATGCTGATAGAATGAGAGAAAAACAACTAAAAAAGCAGGAGGGTCAGTAAAATGTTCAAGGATATTTATGTGCTACATCACAAGTACACATTTATATTTTTAAGCTCAAATTAAATCAATTTTCTATTGTGTAATAATCTATAATTTTGACTGCTTTTAGTCTTAAATATTTATCATAATACCCACCAAGCATTACTCTCCTTACTAAATAATTTTTTTTTTTTTTAAAACCCTTTTTCTGATTTAAATATGAGTATTAATTTATATAGGTATCTATATCTATTGAATAAAAATATTTAGATATAAAGTAAACTTGTGATCTTGAAATTTAATTGATAAACTGTGTAACAGTTTTTTATTTAATACTTTACAACTATACAATTTCATTTGTGACTTAATATAATACTAATAATAATTGTATTTTTACTATAAAATTGAACGCTAATAGTGTTTTAATATTTATTATTACTGATTATAATATAGTTAAATCAAGATAATTAAAATCTAAAATTATGAAAAAAGTAACCATGTTATCAAAAATTATCTCTTGTTATTTTATAAATTATCATTGAAGTATATCAGATAAATCTTAAAATGTAATTTTAGTCATCAAGAATTTTAATTAATTTTTACAATATTAGCCATTTTTTTTCTTTTAGTATAAATATTTATGTTTGGAAAACTTAATATTTGTCCTTTTTTCTTAATTATTGAGTAAATACATAACAAAACTTAAATTAATGTTATGAATTATTATATTTGTAATTATAAATTATTGTCATTTTATTTTATTAAGAGTCCCTTATTAGTTTGTAATGCTTAAAAATCTTTCTAAAATATTGCATTAACCTATAATATAAATTTGAAAATTCAATTCATATGGATATTTGTTCAATATAAGAGTATTTTCTCACACATATTTATTCATAAATTATTAAAAAAAAATGTCAACAATTTCAAGTTTATTCTAACATGTATGTCAATAGATTGTAATTTGTTTAATTAATTTAAATTTAAATTCAAAATAATAAGAAAAACAATTGTAACAATATATATACGAAACAAAAAGGAAAGAGAAGCTGGGAGCAGAGTCTACTAGTCTTTATAATAATAATATTAGTAATTTTATAGTCACAGAGATAAAAACCATGTTGTAGGTTATCAAGTATAATTGATGTAAACCATAAAACCTAATATTAAATATAACCTTATTATATCATATAACAAAATAGTAAATATTTTATACAGGATATACCTTATTAAGACATAGTTACTCATAAAAATAAACTATTTATAGGTAAGTTTAAAGGTATTTTTCTATTCATGTTTCGGTACGATTAGTTTTTTTTTCCTTAACAAATATTTTTATAACTGTAAAAGCTAACCATAAAATCTACTAATTTACAGCGTTGTAAAAAATACTTTTAAAAAGTTGGAGTTAAATAATTACTCAATATGTAATGAAAAACAACAAACAAGAAGAAAAATTAAAATGTGAAAGTGTCCTTTTTTTACTTTTGTACACGGGCCCATCTTTCATATTTATTCGCCATTGGTTATAATAATAAGCATTATAAAACTCTTTTCTAGTTATTATGTACACATATTTTTAAATTACGGAAATGATAACTTATAAAATGTAAAAAAAAATCTTTGGATTTGTATTAAAATCACAAGCTTATCATTTTATTTATAAGTATTAAAAATTCACACTCAAAGATTGAAATTGAAAAAAAAAATAGTGTCAAAATTTGGTGTACTAATAATCAAGGTTTGACATTTTATGCGCTAAAAAGTACTCAAATAAGCGCATACATATGTGTTAAAAACCATAATAATATGCAGGAAAAATTTGGAAAATATACGAGTTATTGAGTAAAATACAATTTACTTAAATTAGGTACATGGAGCAAAAAAATAAAGATTGCACACTTGTATATTGTTGTGTCTTAATGTTATATAAGTTACACAATCTTCATAAAACTAATCTTTTTGGGTATAAATGTATAATAAATACTGATAACGACCACTATATTATGTTACTTTAATAATGCTTTAGAAAATTTAGAAAAAAATTCGGGCCGGTTGGAGAGCGCTATTACGATTTATCAATTCAATAGAGATTGCCGCGCATATCTTATGCTCATATATTATTATCATATTGCCGGCCGTATCTAAAAATTTTTCTCGGGAGGAGTCCAAAACATGTATATTGTAATTTTATTGAATTAAGATTTTAACTTTTGATATTTGATTAAAAATAAGACAGAAAAAGATTTAATCTTCTTTTATTAAAATTAATATCATATGAAAATATGATATTATGATATAAAATTAAAATCAGTCAATGATTAATTGGAGCTTAAGTCATTTTTGACTGGAAATATTTATGTTAGTATTAAAAATAAATAAGTATTTTAAACATTCTTAAAATATTGAAGAAATTTCGGGGTGAGGGTCCAGACACCCTGGACCCCTCAGTTACGGTCTTGTGAGATTATAATAACACAGGCTTTCTAGTGACTAACTTTTTTCACTATACATTACTATTTTTCAATCAACTCACCTTTTTTCATTATATCCTGAAGTTTCTTACTTTTCTCACTAATTATTCAATATAATCTAGAAAATGTTATAATCTTCTACATTTATTTAAAATTGCTGAAATATTGAAAACAAATATCCACATTTATTGACAAACTCATTCTGAATACGAAATTAAATGTTTTTATAATACAATATAGGTACGTAGGTTTTAACGTATCCATTTATACATCACCACATAAAATACCTCTGGTCTACACAATGGCCCAGCAGATTTTGCCGCCAAATATAAACATATTGTTCCTTATATTCCTCATAAAATCTGGTTCAATAATCTCCATCTATCTAGATCAATCATTTTACAATTCAATCGTCTGCATTCCGGCCATACACTTTACCTGCCTATGCATATAAACTGGACTTAAATGACTCTAATCTGCACTTTAACAGCAAGTCTTTGTGATTTATCCCACATTCTTTTTGACTGTCCTTCCCTGCACATAAAACAAACTAATTTGTCTAAATCCCTTCAAGTCTTCAATATCTCACTAAAACTTTATTCTATTCTTAACTGCAATTCAGAAATAATTATCGCTCAAATCATAGCCTTTATATAGGAAACTGGCTTTAGCATCTATGTTAAAATATAAAAAATATATATATATATATACATATTGTACCATTTGAACTAATTGTATGATTGTCGAGCTATAGTTGTAAATACAAAAAACTAATATAAAAATAAAAAAAATATGAGTAACTGAAAAAGAAAAGTAGCTGTTTAGTATTGTTTAGTAGCAGCTCTTTTTATATAATACGTGTGACGCTCACTATTAGAAAGACGAGATAAGACTGTGTGATTATTTGAGTTAACTGCACAGTTTATGGGTACAAAGTAGAATTTATTACCTCCGAGCATTTTAAAAAGATTTTTTCTAGATCCAGGATCCGACTTACCACGTCTAATTGTAATCATTTATGAATTACGATTGTTTTTATTAATTTTATGAATAAGTTAAATGTATTCTTTATTTCATTTCGATATTGCTCATTTACAGTTCACAAGTTAAAAATTATATTCATATATATAATTAAGTTAAAAAGATTTAGGATAGAAGGCAGGATTAGTAAATACCTTCTATTACTAAAATAATTTTTATTTATTATAAAATCCACCCCAACTCTTTAATTTCATAATAAAACATAGGCCTTTATAATTATAATAGTTAGGTTGCAATAATCCAGAAACTTACTTGTTATGATCATAATTATTCTAATTTATAACATCCTGGCTTGTCTTTGATTATAAAGTAATGCATTCAATAACACTTCATTAGTTTGTCCTATTTTTGATTCATTACAGTTAATTCAAATCCTACAATCCCTATTCAATATGTATTAGTTCGGATTCACTGCCTACATCGTGTTAACATTAAATATATAACATCATGTTTATGGATAAAGTACAAAGGTTTTACACATGATAGAATCTCTTATTAATATTTTTAACAATTAGACCGTTTATTTATATTGAAAATGATTTAAATTTTAATTAGAGAAATATTTTTCTAATCGTTTTGGTTTTCAACGACTATTATATCAGTGGGATTTGCATCTAAACGAGTAGTGGACGAATGATAGATTTATGTAGTCATCATACATATAATTACTATTACAATTACTACACAATGCTGTATTATAATCGTTCATACTATGACGCGGAAATTATATAGTGCGTCACGTAAACAATAAACAAAAATAAAGACGCACGAGCTGTTCGTCCAACAGATTGACATTGTTGCGTTGACCCTTCCCCTTTAAGTAACACAGTATAATACGTTATAACGTGTTATAATCATCTATAACACACTCATAACACAACGCATGATTATATTGTCGCTATAATATATATAATATCATTTCGTATACAGGGTATCCTTAAACATCATGGTGACTCTTGTTTAAAAGATTTTAATGATATTTTTTTCGTTAAAATATCTCGTTTTTTATCCTGTAATATTTAATTTTAGGTTATAGAATTACACAGTGGGGAAGAGGGTTAAGGGATTACAACGTCCCCTGAATATCTTTTTCGTTTCACATGCAAAGAATTTAAATATATTTCCAAACTATTTATACTCTAATTATAAATTTCATTTTGTGTTTTTTATATCTTCTAAACAATTAAAAAAAAAAAAAAAAAATGGAGTTACACAGTGAACTAGACGTGAACGTAAATTAGCATGAGCGTGGATGGTAGGGGTTCAAATCCCCTCTCTGAAATATCAGAAAAAATGTAATAAAAAAATATCCTGACCGAAAAGTATAACAGTTTTTTTAAAGTCCCCCATAAAATATATATATACATATAACAAAACATCCTATTTATCATTATTTTACATTTTTTCAAACAAATCTCCCACCACTGAAATTTTTTCTCGCGTTTGCCACTGAATCTTACAGTTAATTCTTTTTTCGGTATAATTCATAAAATACGAATTGGAACATTACACACTTACAGATAGTGTACAAACGTAATAATGATATTGCTGAAATATACTTCAATATTTATATTAAAAAACGATCATGTCTCGATAAAAAGTGTCATCTGTAATTATGCAAATATGTAACATGTATGATGTAAACTATATGTATTATTTACTTTTTATGAACTCATACCTAACACTGTGAACGTGTGCACCTATTTAAATGTCAAAGGAAAGGTCGGTATTTAACATATGATGACATCATGCGTACGTGATAGGAAAGTATCGGCCGGAAAAGGAATTATTTGTATATTATGCCTACCTCGAGCTCTTCTTATTGTACAACTATTATTTATTTTAAATGTACTTTTGTACCAATACCGCGGAAATTGACAGTTTTTCGATAGAAAAAGTTGTGTCACCAATGAAAAATAATGCAGGAACGAAAATATTTTCTCTGTAGGCAGACGAAGCAAATATAGTGGAAGATTAGATTTTTAACACAAAGTAGATTACGAGTCGCTGAGATAAAACCGGTTAGCTTTTAAAGGTCATCCGCTATCGTGCAATGGTTATTTAATGATTATTTTTTTATATTATAGCCGTTATGAACGAAAACATCAGATTTACATTACTTTGCATAGGTAGGTACGCCAAAGGTTTTTTTTTTTTGATTGTAACGGTTTTATCATCTCGACCTAAGTCCCCGGAAACGATTTAGGCCGTTGTTTCAACGGTATTCATTTTCTCTCTCTCTCTTGTACTGTAGACTTTATTGGTAGGTACTGAATTCAGTTAGCTCGTAGTTGTTGCCGAGTGCTGACTATAGTGACGATCGTTTAGCTGCTGCTAGTACGGAGAAATTGATTTAAAATGTTCAAACCGATCGTATTCATCGGTTTTTTAATCTTTCATCTTGGTTATGGTGATGCCTTGTCACCAAAGATCCGAGTTCCTGAGGATCCATTGTCCGACGAGTTTATCGACCATATAAATTCTGTACAAAACTTATGGACAGTACGTGACGGTGAAACCGCGACTATCTGCATTACATTATTGTTATAATAATTTGTATTCTTGTGTTTCAGGCCGGCCGTAATTTCCACAAGAACACTCCGCTTTCCTATCTCAAAGGTTTAATGGGCGTACATGAAAACAACATGCTTTACCCGAAACTTGAAAAGCTGTTGTCTTATGTAGACTCACCAACCAACGAGTTGCCGGAAAATTTTGACGCCCGAGAGAACTGGCCACATTGTCCAACCATTAGAGAAGTTCGAGATCAAGGATCGTGTGGATCGTGTTGGGTATAATAATTATATGCCTATCATGGGCGTACTCAGAAATTTTTTTAGAGGGGGCAAAATTAATTTAAAAAATAAATGAAGATTTTTTTATACATTATTCTTTTTCCTCGAATATAAGATATATGATAAGATAAAATGGTAATCAAATTATTATTAAAGATAGTTTTCTTCTCGTATAATATATATGTTATATTAAAGTAATCTATGTTTACTAAATTGACGTGTTACAGTTAATGCTTTGGAAAACAAATCTAAAATTATAGAGGAGAACAAAAGCCCTACCTCGCCACCCCCCTGGGGATGCCATGATGCCTATGATTATTATAATATTGTAAACGATACTCAAGCCCGGATTAAGGGGGGCCAGAGGAGGCCATGACCCCGGGCCCACAACGGACATCAAACAATAATGGGCCCCTGATGGACAGTAGGTTTTTTTCGTTTTTTCAACTCTTTTTTAGCTCGTATAAAAAACAAGTATAGAACGAGCAGTTCTCAAGAAAATTTAAATAGTTTTATGATTTTGTGTTCAGACAGTGATGTTTTGAAAATAATCACTACCAAAGACATATTTAAAGGATTTGCTTTCCAAAAAGCAGGAAAAAATTATTTATACAAATAACATTTTTATTTTTGTATTTAAAAAAGCAAGAAATAAATTTATAAATTAGAATATAATATTTTTTTTGTCTTTAAAATATATTTATGTGCGGATCACCAATATTTTGATTATGGTTATGGGTTCCTAAAATGTTTGGTCTCGGGCCCCAAATTATCATAATCCGGGCTTGGCGATACTTAACTTAATATAGCTGGTGCCTGGTAACTAATTATTAATATAAATATACAGGCTTTCGGAGCCGTGGAGGCCATGTCTGATCGTGTTTGTATTCACTCACAAGGTAAAATAAATTTCCATTTCTCAGCTGAAAATTTAGTATCATGCTGTTGGACATGTGGTTTTGGATGCAACGGAGGTTTTCCAGGAGCAGCATGGCACTATTGGAAAACTAAAGGCATTGTCAGTGGAGGCCCCTATGGCTCTAATTTGGTAATATTCTTTATTATTTATCATAAACAAATATCTTAAATAGTATTGTCAATATTCATTAACAAAAATTAAATTAAATTCACATTAGGTATTATTTACATAGGTATTTTAATTTTTAGCTATAATGATTATTTTTTTTTCTTAGTATTACAAAATTTAGGTACATTTATGTGTATACATAAATCACATATAATATTAAAAATATCTTTCCTAGTAGGCACTCATGAGTGCACTAGGTCATTTTCAACTTTCAAATAATCACCATAAGCTGCATGAAATGAAAGTTACAACTAATTTCATGTGTATTATAAAGCAGAATATTTTCTCGAAATACATGTAATATATTAGTAATTTCATTATTAGGCTTTGAATTTAAAGTATACAACTATACAAATATTATAATAATTAAGTAATTATATTGATGGGTGTTTGAAAAGTTTGGTTAACTATGCGGTTTTTATATTCCAATAGGTAAACTAATTTACTGTAATGTAAAAGTAAACTGTAAATTGTTAAAAAAAAGTTGCATAAAATAATATCTATTTATAGTAGTTATTTATCCGTGGAACAAAAAAAAAAAGATAACGATTATTTTTGTTAAGCCCCCCCCCCCCTAGCCAGATTAAATTTACGCAACTACATAGGTCAAAGCATCAGTATTAAACAAATAATTAACTTAGGGTTGCCATCAGGGACTGGAACCTATAGGTTTTTTCGGTTCCGGTTTCAGTTTTGGTTGTTCAATTAATTTTTTAAGGGTTTCGGTTTCGGTTTTTTAAAAGAGTAAGGGTTCTAGAAACGGTTACCTAATTTCGGTTAATTTTGATTATTAGAGATTTATTAAAAAATAATATGAAATTATTTATTTATTCTTGTTTAAATTTTAATTGTTTCATTTTATGAAAATAGAAGGTATTATGAATAGTTAAAAAAAAAAAAATTATAAATATATTAAATATATATATATATTATATCAGCCTATTAAATTTCTTTGAGTTAGGTTAAATTATTTTATTCCAACTCATAGTAAGAATTTGTAAAATACTTTATAATATTGTGAAGTATTATGATTTGATGAAATAAATATCTTTAATTTAAAATTTAATTTTAATTAAGAATCAAAGTTAATACTGGCTACTGTTGTAACTATAAATTTGTATAAACAATTATATTTAACACTTAATAGACAAGATAGATGATATATATTCATTGTAAATTGTAATATATTAATAAACACACAAAAATAATAATAATATTAATGCTACAAATTTACTTATTATATGCATTACACTATTACAGTTTACAACACAAAATAATAAAAATATAAAAAGATTTGACTTTTATTTTTCTGAACCAAAAAATGGACAAACAAAATAGTCATTACCATAGTTTTACTAGTCTAAATAACTGACCTAAATTAACCTCTTTTATAATTAAGGTTACGGTTCCTAAATTTTAAAGGTTAACTGATTCCAGTACCGGTTCTTTTCGGTTACGGTTCTGATCCCTGATTGCCATACGTCCCGGAAAACCGGGATTGTCACCGACTTAGGACTTCGCATTCCGGTGTCCCGAAAAATGTTTTGGGGATGTCCATATGTCCCAGCGTATGGGGCATCATTTGCAAACAAATCATTATTTTTTTATCGTAATTTTTTTTTTTTTACGTTTCTAACGCCCTCACAATAAAAACAACATTATTTTAAAACATTTAAAAAAAGGTCTAGGGGATCTGACTTCCATATCTATCCCTTGTATACGCCACTGATCCCCTCAAAATATTAAAAGTTTTATATTATTATTATATATGTATATATACTCTGTTTGTGTTGTCCCAGTTTTGTTTTAAAAAAATTATGGGAACCCTAAATTAACCTATTAACCTAACTTGTTAACCTGACTTATTATTCTAACTCAATAACTTAAACTATTAACAAGCATTTAAAGTTTAGAAGAACTGTAGAGTTTATTGTTTATTTCATAATCATACTTTATATTTTAAAGCATAAAAAAATAACTATTGGCTTACTGTTGAATGTGTATTCATTAAAATGTAAGTTTATAATACTAGAATAAAAATGAAGATTGCTTTTAAAGAATGAAGTATAAAATCTAACAGACACTTGTTTTTTCTGTGTCAAAATTGACAGAAAATATGTGCTTTGGTTAACAAATTAATATTTTATAGTAGGTTTTTACTAGATATTAACTTAAATTATATTATTATCAAATTGAATACAATTTTTTGATATTAATTTATTATTTGAGTAATTTTTTTAAGCCCAGATTTTATTTTAATATTCAATGATTTAATTTTGAAGTTCTTATAATGTTTTAATATGATATTCTTTAAAAGAAATCATTTACTTTATTTACTTATTTTTGATGTAGGGATGTATTCCTTATGAAATTGCTCCTTGTGAACATCATGTAAATGGCACTCGAGGACCATGTAAAGAAGGTGGTAAAACACCAAAATGTGTCAAAAAATGTGAAAGTGGATACAAGATACCGTATGAAAAGGATTTACATCATGGTAATTCATTTTTTAATATAATCAAACACATTGGTATATTTGGTATATTAATGTTGTATATTTTTACTAAGTTATATAAATACATTATTTTGTAGGTAAATCTGTGTATTCACTTAGCAATGATGTTGACCAAATTAGACAAGAAATTTACAACAATGGTCCTGTTGAAGGAGCTTTTACTGTGTTTGAAGATTTTGTTTCTTATAAATCTGGTTAGTATTACCTACTCTTTATACTATATTTTTATGTATATTGTATATTTTCAAAACTTGTAACCTTAAAATATTTAGGTTAAAAATTATTATTTACTATTATATTTATGATTTGATAACATATAATTCCTGTAAAAATTAAAAAAAAATTCTTGAATTCCTTATTGTTAATATCATAATTTAATACTAATACTCTTACAAAAAGTTAAATCATTTTTAAATTAATATTTATTTGTGTAAGAATTTATAATTGTAAATGTTATATAGATTAGCATTGTATTATTTGAATATGTATGTTTAATTTACTTGGTTATCCTTATCTTATTCAATTGTTCATACTTGAATATTTGAGTTCTAACTATTAGTAAAAAAATAATAATATTTATATTACCACGTTTTATTAATAATCTGTTAACTAGAGTCTAGACAACTGTGCAAGCAGTGCCAAATCTAGGGGAGGGGGCAAGTGAATATGTTTGTCCCAAGCGCCGATGGTATAAGGGAGCTCTTAAGTTTACAAAAGATAATTAAGATAATAAAAAAAGTCATGAATATACCCCGTAGTTGTACTTAGATAAGGACGCTGCATTTTTATTAGCCCCGGGCATTACATTTTCTAAGTCCAGTATAGAGTATGAAGGGAAAAATTTTGATTTTTCTGATTTTTTTTTTTTCAGGTGTTTATAAACATGTTGCTGGTAAGGCTCTAGGAGGACATGCAATTAGAATTCTTGGTTGGGGTGTTGAAAATGATACACCATATTGGTTAGTGGCCAATTCATGGAATACTGATTGGGGAAATAATGGATTTTTCAAAATATTAAGAGGAAGCGATGAATGTGGAATTGAAGGACAGATTAATGCTGGGTTACCTGCTTAATAGTTCATACTATATTCAAATTAATAATTTGATGTTTCTCTAATATTTTCCCCTAAATTATAGTTACACTGATGTTTTAAAAACAAATAATTTTAGTTATTAGTTAATTTTTTAAACACAATTCATTTATCTGTTTTTAAATAAATCAAATAAATTAAGAAAGAAAAATAAACAAGAGTATACTATATTTATGTTGATTCAATGAATGTGACTATATTTATCATATAATAAAAGTTTTTGTTTTATTTTTCATTTATTTTCATTTAAAAAGAACATGTTAAGGTTTTAACCTTAATAAAAGTTTTGGTTTTGGTTATCAATTTTGATACGAAAATATAGTTAAATCTGCTATGTGAACATCCTAAACATGAGACATTGATCCAAATTTACAAATTAACTAGTTGGTGTCCCAATTACATTTGAATAGAAAAACAATAGAATACCAGATATTTATAAAATTACAAAATATAGTATTTCTTAGTCTATGTAACCTGAGATTGTTTAATGGATAACTAATAAACTTTACCCAGAGCACTGCAATATTTATTTAACTTTAAATCAACATTTCAATTTTAAAGTAAGAAAAGATTTTTAGTTGTGTCAAAGTTTAAATTTCATTTGATATAAGTTATTAAATTTAAATTAACCACTATAAAACATTTTTTGAACCAATTTTAATTATTTATATTATGTTTAAAAACCAACGTTGTATACAATTTAAAAACCAATGGTTGTTGCAATATTTTAATTACAAAATTTAATCAATATTTTATTGATATTTCTTAATATTTAATTAAAATTAAATAAATGTTCATGGTTTCAAAATTATACATTAATTAATGATTAAAATGTAATATATGTTATTAAATATTGCTTGTTAATATTATTATTATTTATTGACATATAGACGACCAATAGAAGATATGATAAATAATATACCAGTGTATATATTTTTGTATAACACTCTTTAAAAATATATTTAACTTAGTGATATAGTAAGAGGGGGAAGGCTGTAACCCCCTCTTGGAAGTTAAGTTATTTCAGTTATTTCATTTTTTATGGAAGTAATTTAATAACTCATAAATAATATTGTAAGTTACAAATTTTTAATAATTAGGGGGTTTGATCCCGTAAATTTCCCTACCCATGTTAATGGCCTTGAGTCTATTTATATTATTTTTACATATCGATAATTTATTTATTTATAAAATAAATAGGTACAACCTATGTTTTACGTTTATATGGATATTATTCAGAAAAGTTGAATAACGAAGTCCAAATATACAATATTGCGTATCAATAGGTATTTAAATACATGAAAATTTAATATTTATTTTTAAATCTATATAAACTATAAATTTAATTAAAATTATGAATATTTTGTGAATATTGAGAGTTAAGAATTGAATAAGTATTTAAACTCTCAAATTGAATAAAAGTTAATATATTAAGTTTATTTTAATAACTATTACCATTGAAAATCAAATATAAATATTAAAATATTTAATAAATATTGTAAAATATTTTATTTTTAAAATAAAATAACTATACATTTATTCAATAATGTATTAACTTTTAATTTCAAATATTTTAATTCTAATCAAAATTAAATATTTATACAATCGTTTTGATTAACAAATGCTGTGTGGGTATGTATATTATAATAGTATTGTTAAAAACCAATGTAATTTTTAAATTTATAATATTGTCGCGTCCCGTGTAGTCACACGGTAAAAAACATATCAAGGAGGTTCCCATGTACATCAAAAACTACAACTATGGATAAGTTAGGTTATTGTGTTCACGTGGTTATTACACTAGAGATTACAATAAGGAATTAGAATATCGAAATCACAAGCGTGGACAAGTGAAAGGGTTCACATAAACGTTTTTATGGGAAATTGAAATAAAATAGTTTATCGGAATGATGTGGTGACCACATCCTGGGCATTTGTGTCAATAATTATGTCACGGTCTGGAGATAACGCACACACACTCACAATTTATAGGAAATTATCTTATTTTATTATCTTATTCATTTACACACACACATTTGAGATTTTACACACACACATACAATATCACATATAAAAGGGACCCGAAAACAAAGGCAAATCAGACGAGTCTTGTCTATGCTGCACTGAGCACCTTCACGTCAGTGTATGTTATGGTCTGGACTTAGAAATATTTCCAATTATTTTATAAGTTACAATTGTTAGGACTTAAATAATTTCTATCACTAGAATATTTACAGAATTTGTAGTTAGGATAATTTTTATAAGTTAAATAAATTTAATTATTTTAAAAAGAAGTCTTAATTATTCCTGACTACACTTCCACTCAAGCGTTGACAGAGACGTTGTAACTGAATTAACGGATCAAACGGTTGGCACGTAACAATATAAATATATAGACAATTAAATGTTTAAAAATAATTTTATTATGTTATTCAAATATATAAATTAGTATAATTTTTTTAATTTTGTCCAAATTCAATATTATCTCAAAAATAATCCTTGATATAAAACTACATATATAATATAGACAATTTTAAATTTAAATTATATATAAATAATTGCATACAATTTACATAAAAAAATGTTTTAAAAGACTATCAATGATATAATATTTTATAAATTAAAATCTAAAAAATAGGAATAAATCATAAGCTGATTGAATATTAATATTGAGAGTAAACATTGAAATTAAAAGATACAGATTACATAAATGAAAACATGTTAAAATAAATTATGCTTTCATAATTAATTTTATTATTGTCAAGACAATATTATATATGCTTATAAATGTAAATTAGTGATGGTTTGAACCTCAGTTTTGAAAATTAAACATTTTAAACAACTAAAATTTGTTAGAAATTGAATCAAACCCAATATCATATTAAATAGAAATTGAATTTATTTATTTAATTTTTTTAAGGAAATAAAATATATAATACAATGTAACGACACCAAAAGGTATTTCAGTTGTGAATATGTAACTATAACAATCAATGAACATTAGCTATAAGAAAAAAAAGTATTACCAATAATATTAAAATTTTAATTTTTTAGGTCTTAGACTTAGTAAAACAATTATATTCTATACTCGCATAATTTCAAGATATATTATATAATTGTTAGATTAAAAAAAAAAACAGATAGGATAAACACTTTTTATGATTACTTAACATTTAATAATTTATTTTTAATTTTATTATTATTATTTTTTTTTAACAAAAACACATTAACAATAAAATATTTATTATTTTTATATGCGTGTATTAACTTCAGGCTACGCAGGAAGATTAACACTTATCTGATTCAGAATTTTAGATTTAATTTCTTTAATGATATTTTCATCAAGTCTATCTCTTTCTGATAATTCTTCTAGTACACACAGCTGTTTCTGAAAAAAAAAAAAAAAAACATAAACTATGTTAGAAACTTTATAAAAATACTGTATATAATTATAATTACTTGGGTATCAGCTAAAACAGAATATTTTATATTCACCGACTGATCATTTGATAGTTCATTAAAAACTGCATTACGAACAGAAATTAAAGCATCTAGATTAATACATTCCAAGACAATGGTTTTTGTAATTTCGTTGTCAAAAGTAATAGAGACTATCTTGTCAAATAAGTTAAAATACAATGTTTTCGGCGTACTAACTAAAATAGAAATACATTTAAAATTGTTTCAAAAATATTAAATAAAGATTTAAACATTTACCAGTTATATTTGTGTACAATGATTTTGATATTCTATGTTTATTTCGTTCTGTAATAATAGTTAAACATTCTGTTAAGGATAAATTATCAGGATATTTAAACACATATTTATGTCGATCTTCCATAGGATTAATTACTGGTATTTTTTCTCGCTTTTCAGCTTTGACAAAATATAAAGCATTCAATTTTACTGGATTTAAAGGAATAATCAAAAAACGATTCATTAATTCATTTTGTACTTGGCACACTAAATCGCAATACACAAAACCAGATGTACAATTTTCAGCAAGTGTAGCAAATAAATGGTGTTTCACTATTAATGGATGATTATTATTGAACAAATCTATATTAAAAGGATGTAAACCACAGTTTGATGATGAATTTTTACTATCTGTGACACGAACCAAGAGTTGCCAAATTGTAGATGAAAACGATAACCATGGACAGTCTGTAGACAATTTAATTGCTAAAATATATTGATCTTGACAAGCTCCTAATTTTACTGCTTTGGCACCTAAACTTATATAAATTTTATTTAACTATTATAATGGTTGGTATAAAAATGCAACAGTTTATTACCTGAATAAATTAAAACATCAAATGAACAATATTGTGCAATTAAATCTTTTCGTGCAACAATGGATACTGCATTGATGAATAAATCCATTTTTTCTTGTTGTTTTTCTATGGATTCGACATTTTTACATAGATCTTTTATTTTTTTTAGGACAATTTCTTCGTTGAATTTAAATTTATTTTCTTCTTGAGTGATAATTTGGTAGTTAGGAGATAACTTGTAAACTTTATTTAATTGGGTCATGGCAATAATGTTATTTAACAGAAATTTATGTAATGAAAGAACTCCTAAAAAGTTTAAATTTTAATTAAATATTTTTAAACACTGTAAGGTATCTAAAATTAAAAAAAATACCTTTCAATGGAGTTACAACTTGCTTTACTATTTTTGAAAAATGTTTATCCAATGTTATAATAAATAAATGAATACTATCACTCAAAATTATTGTACAATCAACAAAAAATATAGCAACTACTTCTGTAACTGACAAGTAAATGAATGATGACGCAACACTTTCAACACAGTCCATCACCGTAAGAATCCCACTAGATGATACTAACAGCATTTTTTTTGATTCTAAAAAAATAAAAAATGTATTAAGCTTACTTAATCGATTAATTCATTAAATAAATATAAATTTAATTAAAATATTAACAGATGATTCCATGACCTATATTATTTTATTATTTTGTATTTCTTTAGCTCAAAAATATTTAAATCTTAATTTTTTTTTTTTCAACCCCAATTAATTTTAAATAACTACCTCTTATAACCAAAAATTATGATTATAAGAGATAATTAATTAAATTTTATGATTCACAACATTTTAATTATTGAATGAGTTTTAGTGTTGTTACCAAAATCACAAAACTGAATGTGCACAATTTTTTGTGGACAATTTAGAAATAATGACACATTTTTACAGGTCACATCAGATGTTGAATAATATACTTTTGATTCTTCTGTGGCTAGTATAAAGATATCTCGACTGTTTATAACATTTGATCCAAAGAGTTCTTTTGCCCGTTGACAGGTAAACCAATCTCTCCAAGTACAAGATACAAAAGAAGTAACTACAAATGGAAACTAAATATAAATAAAATTACTTTAATTTCTTTTTGAACAATATTTTCATCAAATATACCTGTTTCTGTTGCCTAATTTGCTGACTACAATTATTGTGAATTACTGGTTCACCATCGTCATCAATGTTAATTTGCAAAAATTGAATGGTTATCCATTCATTTAATGTTGTAATCACAGCTATACCCTCTGAATAACAAGACATGCCAAAAATATTACATGGATATTTTTGAGAGTAAAAAGAAATCCATTTACAATCACAAGATTGTAGTTGAGGAGAAACTTGTACAGAAGAACAACCAAATAAGTCTGGAGAATCACTAAAACAAAATTTAATATTTAATATCCATTTAAGCTTTTGATTACATAAATCGTTACCGATGAATTTGTTTAAGATGATATACTGATCCATTTTTATCAATACAATAAATTTTTAAACCAAATGTAAATACTGATATTATTGGATTACTTATAGGCAAGATCTAAAAACAGACAATTTCTAATAAAATTATACATCCACAATATTGTATTTTTTATATAAGTAATCATATTTATTTTAGACTGAATAAATTTATTTATTTATTTATTTTTTTAAAGATTTCAGCAACTGAGCTATTTTAATCTCAACAATTATGTTTTGTTAACAGTTAACTTAACTAGTTAGAAGGGGGCAGTGACAGTTCTTTCTATTGAAAAATTATTCCTTGCCTAGAGAGTTAAACTGCTGGAAGCTTAAACTGTGTGTTTAACACATCCACCTTGTTCAACTCTGCTATGACACTTTCAATAAATTCTAATTAAGAATTATATTTCATGCAAGCATCATGTACAATGGGTTATTTGATTTCATAAGGCATAACAGAATACATTCAACTTAAAGTACAAATTATAACTAATTTTTAAATTAAGTTAGGTGCGACATAAAAGTTTTTAAATAATAACAAAAACAGATAATAAAACACAAGTACCCATTCAACTATAATTATACTTACCACAGGCTCAATAGGATTCCAAACACTAGCCTCATCTAAATTGTTTAAAGAGTATAAGACAGTGACACAATCATCCCATGAAATAAATAAAGGATTTTCTACATTTTTATGAAAGTGTGTACACCTAGGGTTGGAATGTAAATACTCAGATTTTAATTGAAGTTGTTCGATGTTTAAAGAGAGTTCCATGTTCAAAATTCAGTTTTGTAATCCGTGAAGTTTCATACTGAAGTATTACTTAATGATATGATCTTAAGTTTAAAATAAAAATTGAAAAAATAGTAAATACTATAGAAAAATTGAACATGGCATGGCTTTTTAAGTTTCAGGCAATTCAAACGTGCTGTTTATCAGTTAACTTATTATAAAGCCACAATGATAAAATAATTGGCGGTAAAAATTAAAAACAATAGAATAATAAAAATTTTAAATAAAAATTAGTAAATGATTAATACTTGTAAAATAATATATAAGTTAATAATTTATATATAGAAATAAATAATAAGAAAATAAATAAATGCTCAGCCTAAGGTATTATTATATTTGTAATATACGACCCAACAATGTTTCATAAAAATTCGTACTACACATTTTTTAATGTACAATGATATGATATGATATGATGCATAGTTCCCCTCTACTCTACTTCTATATGATCATAATTTTTAGTACCTACAATGTCAATAATAATTTTTTGGTAATAGTTATTTTTTATTAATCAAATATCACATTATAATTAGGACCCAAAAACCAATCTGTTATTATTTTTTAAACTAAAAATATACTTTTGTCTGGTATAAATTTGAAAACTATTAACAAATTATTTATTTTAATGTGGGGTATGTAATTTAAAATTTAATAGATATAGGTATGTAAGTCCTTGTCAGCTGTCTTGCTTAAACTGACTTCCTAAAAAACACTTTCATAGTAGTCTTACTCATCAGTATTTCGTAGGTACACGCACATTAAATATACAGTAGTATAACTATTAATCAAAATCAATGGTATAACTACTATATATACAGTAGTATATATAGTAGACATAACTATTTATTTTGATTTGTGGTTCTGTTTTGTGCTATATAAAAAAAAAAAAATAATATCACAGATTCACAGAGATAAAAAATTGATAAAAATCAAAAATGTAGTTTTCTTGTTACGACGAACTTACAACTGCTTGAGACCATAAACTGTTTATAGTACTGGTTATTAAAATGTTGATAATTGAATCACGGACATAAAAGGGACACAAAAAGGGACGAATTTTACATAAAGGACGAAAAGGAAGCATAGGTGAACATTTTAATTATATTTTAAAACTGTTTATAGCGTTAACTGACAACAATATTAGGGCTCTATAAAAATGCTCTACCGGTATATTTGTGATCAATCAGACTAACTTGCGATTTAAAAAATTTAAGTTCAAATTTCCATGATATACCTATTTGGTCTTTTGTAATTACGACTTTTCTTGTAGACACTGTAATTGTTTCAATCGACCATTGAGGTTGTTAGAAAATTTAATTCTGTGGAAACATTTAACAGTTTAAAATTGTCAGTCGTCGTGCGGCACATACGTTTCACAACCACACCACAAATAATATGAAAATATAAATAAAAAATACATTTTCATACAGCTGTGACCATATGCTAGTGGCGTAAACAGAAAATATTTTTGGGAGGGGCTACTATGGACAGAGTTAAATTGCCACTGCTATCTAAGAATTAATAACAAGACACAGTAGGTACTTATCTACATTTAATTTACAGAATGTCCTAAAACTATTTGACAAAGACAATAAAAATTGTCTTAACTGGTCACATTATTTACGTATTTCCTATAATAAGCTTAATCCTGTATATACGAACAAAGGATATATGATGTGGTACTTTATTATTTAATCTATATATATATATAAAAATGGAGCCAAAAATGTATGAAATTTCATCAATTGAGAACGGAACAGGTCCGAACAGGAACAGATTCCGCAACAGGTACCAAAATAAATAAGAATGTTAGTTCGAAGGATTATTATGCATATCGGTTGATGATAGGTTAGGACATTCTACAATGTCGTGAGCTTTGTCGACAATTCATGGTCGACATTTACGTAAAGATAGAGAGCGAACGATTTCGATACTTGCGATTCAATCAAAAAAGGTTCATGCGGAAGATTCATGGGAAAGTTACTACAGATGAAACAGGATGCATACAATTACCGACCAATTTCTGTACAATCATTGATTCGCAAGATCATTGATTCTCATTGACCAGAAATTTCCCAATGTACACAGACAATACACAAATCATGAGTGGCTGACAGAAAGAGCAATTTTAGCAGTAAAAAATGTGGACGTCAACGAATTGAATCTCAAGATACAACATTTGCTACCAGGAGACTTGGTGTCATACAAATCTATTGATACAGTTTGCGATGCTGCTAAAGCTGTAAATTATCCAACAGAGTTTTTAAACTTATTGGATTTATCAGGCAAGCCACCGCATAATTTACAACTGAAGGTTGGATCTCCGGTTATTTTGCTTCGTAATTTGAATCCACCACGGTTGTTCAACGGCAAGCGATTAGCCATTAAAAAGTTAATGAAAAATGTTATCGAAGCCATCGTTTTAAATGACAAATTCTGAGGGGAAAATATATTATCACCGCGAATCCCTATTATACCCACAGATGTGCCAATACAATTTAAACGCCTTCAATTTCCAATTGGATTTGCAATGACTATCAATAAGTCTCAAGGCCAAACGATGTCTAGCTGTGGCTTAGATTTGAGCACATCATGTTTTTCATATGGACAATTATACGTGGCATGCTCTCGAACCATCTAGTTTGTGTTGGTGAAAGATATGATAACAAAAAATATTGTACACTCGGTTGCATTAAGGGATTGATATTGTCATAATTAGCGATATATATAATTTTAATGGATCAATTTTAATAAATTATTAAAAAAAAATAAATGTTTGATGTTTTTTCATTTTTATACTTCGTCACCGTTTAGCACTCCATACCTTTTCCATTTATATACCACATCCTTACAGACCTATATTAAATTAGTTATTTTTTTCTAACAAAATATTCTCTAGAAATAATTTATATGTCAATAAACGTTTGTTGTGTAAGCTAGTATATATATTTATGTCTACTGGACTATTTCTATAATAAAATATGTTATGAATAAAATGTATTGTATGATTATAATTTATTTATTTATTATATAATTAACTCTTAATAATAAGCATTAAATCATAAATTAAGAACCTTATGGTAAAACATTTTAATGAACTATTGAAGTATAATTGAATAAAATAAATACAACCAGGTTAAAATCATTTTTCTATTTTTTTTTATAAAATGATTTTTAAATAAGCATAAAGCACCATTAAAATATAACAAACGTTTAGGTTAATTTTTAAGTTTTTTGAAACATTTCGGGAGGAGGGCTGTAGGCACCCCCCTATATACTTTTGTAGTTATAACTAATGGTTATGACGCATTATTTTTTTCTTATAAAAAAAGAACGATGCGAAATTGAAATTTTTGGTGGCACCGATGGCGGTGGAGAAGAAAATATAAATCTCAACGCTACTGTAATCATATTATACAAATTTTATTAGTTATGCAAATATATTAATACGAAAGAAAATGACCTCGAGATTTAAATGTGTTTATTGGTTTTAAAGTTGTTATTTGACGTAGTGTCGTTATGACACACTTGTCAAGCGGAACATGTGAACAAGTCGTCACTGCTATGAAGTCACGTACGCGTTTTGATGTTATTGTCTATGGTTATTGTTTACGTCGTCATAACCTTTTACGCGCCAACGGCAAAATTATAAATGAAGTGAGTACCGACAAAGCAAACGTGCTTCTTCTATCAGTTACTATCACTCCGCTTGCCTGTCCGTATTTGCCATTAAAACCGAAAAATTCTGAATTTTTACTTGCGTCAATTTTGTTCTTGTTCATTAGGTTATTCTTTGCATTATTTAAATTAATTAATATCTTTTATTTTCGGTTTCGAAAAATATTGTGATTCGCTTGAGAGTTAAGTTTTCTCATCGGTCACAGCAATGTCATTTGTTCGAGTAAAAAGGCGCTACAATGAAGATCCGTTCAATTCCATTGTCATATCGCACAAAAAACTTAAAACAATCGACTCCGATTTTAGTGGAGATTGTGTTTTTCAATTTGCTGCCACTATAAAACACGAAGTGAGACTCACAGCTATAAATTGTATTATTTGATTTGATTGTTCAATAGTTTTTAAATTTTTTATTAATTGAAAGACTATTTCTTTAGCTTTCACAGACTGTATGATACATTGATACCTATTATCTACCTAATATCTTATGCAGGTATTATTATTAGTAGTTATATTATATAAGCCTTCAATAATCTATATTCTAACTTTTAAATATGAAATGAATATTGTTACTTAGTAATAAGTTTGTCTTTGTTAAAATTACTTTGTATGATTTTGTATTAATACTTATTATATTTTTTCAGAATGAAAACTTATCTCAAATATTAAAAGAGGTAAAAGAAGGAAAATCTGTAAAATTTTTAACTAAGACTAATAAAAATAAAAACTCAAATAAAGTGATTGAGCATTCAAAATCAGAACGTTTAAAAGTATGTAATATTGAACCTTAATATTCATAGATTTACATTTAGTATATGTGTTCAATAGAATATATGTATAATAACTAAGAAATACTTATTTCAATACATCATTGGCTTAAATTTAATACAGAAAACTTTTAAATTGTCATATTATATTGATTAATTTTATTTATCATCCTATTGTAAATTTATTTTATTATTTTAGTCACTGTTAAAGTTAATTGTTTATTTTCTAGTTGGTTAATAATCTTAGAGCTGTTAAACAAGATATAGTACCAATCAAAGAAAAACATGGAGAAAGTTCTGAAATAAAAGTTGTTGATTTTATTAAGCATGCAGAAGATAATAGTAAACCGTTAATTGATGAAGGGATTTCAGTTGATTATGTTTATGACTTATATTATGCAAATAATGAAGACAAAGCAATTGATATACAAGATATTGATAGGTAATTTTAATATTTAAATATTTTCGTTGTATATGTATATATATATATATATATATAGTATATATGTGTATGTGTATATATATATATATATATATATATTAAATATGCATTAAAATATTAACAATCTTAAAAATATATGTATTATTTCAGTGTTCATGGCTTAGATTCAGACAAATTTTATAGTATTTGTGGTAATATGAACGAATACGATGATGATTCCTCATCTTGTGAATATGAGGATGATTCTAATGATGAAGGAAATTGGAGAAATGATTATCCTGATGAGGATGATATGGAAAATAGGTAAGAAAAAAACTGTGAACATTGAATATTAAAGTAAAATAGGTTCTCTGGTAAATTAAATTAAAAAAAAAAATCTAAAATTAATAAAAGTCGGTTTTATAGCTCTCTGCTCTTATAAGTTAAAGAACACTAATAAAATCACATAATGAGTATAAAGGGCCGACGTAAGGTTAAATGACATCCCCCAGGCCAAAATGTCAACTGACCTTTTTTCATATAACAACATGTAATATCATATTAATTAGAAAAAAATGTTGTTCGTAGACAGAAATACGAAAAAATGATATAATATGCTTAACTTTTACATATTTTGTTATCGTCTAATTTTTTAATCACGAATTATAATGGCTTGATGGGATCCTGATTAAACAATAACAAATATTCAGGAATTTTTATATTTATAAAGCAACATATATGATAAAAACTTCTATGCTAAACCATACTAAATATATTTAAAGTATACTCATATTATTTTAATACATGGCTAAACGAAATGGCCATTATAATTATCAATATTTCAATACAAAGTTATAGGTATTTTATATTAAAAAAAAAATAATATTACCAACACATATGCAAAATTGTAAAAATCAATTTCGGAGACCCTCTAAAAATGGCACCCTAGGCGATCATCTGAGTCTCCTTACCTTCACGTCAGCTCTGTGAGCATAGCTTATGTTTTTTGTTTGGTGACTAAGTATATGTTTACATTGTTCAAATAAGCTATTAATGTATAATAATATTATTTTTTTCTCATGTCAGGCCACTTAACATTTATAAAATAAAAATCATGGAGTTAAAAATTAAAAGTTAAAAAATTTTAATAAGTTATAATTAGTCAACATCAATTATATAAATAAAATAAAATATAAATAGTAAATATTTGTTAAATTCCTTCTGTTGTCCAAAAACGAGCGACTTTCACCTCTATTTCATTTGTCTGTATTATCCTGTATCTTCTGTGCATTTGTTGGGGTTCCTTGGGTATACTAATGTGTCATTGTCTGTTCTTGGCCACATCTGCATTTTGTGCCAGAGTTGTTAATGTAGCCCCACCTAGACATGTTGTCTTTTGATCTGTCTACACCTACTCTCATTCTATTGAGGGTTCTCCATATCTTCCATTCTAACTGATGGCCTGGTGGTAGCTGTTCAGCTGGCTCCATTCCCCAGCTTGTGTCTACGATTTGATCTCTCCAGAGGGTTATACTTCTTAATGATGGATCTTCTGTTAGGATCTCTGATATCTTTAAGAAACTTTCCCTTGACTTAGTGAGAAGGTGGGGCTCATAAAATAGTTTGAAAGGGGGGGGTGGACCTCAAAAGGTTGAGAACTCATGATCTATATCATGTACCTCAATCTGTAATCTTTTCAATAGTCAATAAAATATATGAAAACAAGTTTAAAATGCACTTACATGTATATTATATACCTAGTATATGTAACAAAATTATATTATTAGATTAATATTGACATGATTCATACTTTTATATTTGGTGTCCCATTGAAAGATAATTGTTTACCAAAGTGATCCGCAGAGGAAGAAAGGTAGGCTTTACTGTTTTAGAATCTAGATAAATTGTATGATTTGATAGTGTAAATATTATCAATTTTTCTTGTATATTTTTTACTTAAAATGTTGATAAAAGAAAAAATAAATTTCTTTCTTAACTCAGAAACTTAATTATTAATCAAAATCAAGTATAATTATTATGATTTATTCATTAAAAATGTATATTTATTATGTTTATTGAACAAAATTAAAATTTAATTTTGTAATATAGACTTTTCATTAAAGATTGTATAAAGTTTTATTTTATTAAAAACAATTTAAAAATTTTTGTAGTGCTGATGAACATGACTTTTTAAGTTTGATTAATCAATCAAAACGATGGACATTAAATAGTAAGTTAGAATATTGTTATTGTTTATATTAAATCTTTTATTACAGCCTTTACTGAATTAAAATTTGTATTTTTTAGATAGTAGTAATAGTAGTTGTAGTGACAACAGAAATACTGATGATGAAGACAATATTGATGATTATGATGTGCGTTTTGCCAGGTATAGACAACGTGTTAAAGCTGAAGAACATTTTTTTTATAATAATGTCATAGATGATAGTCATAGTGAGTCAAGCAATTCTGATGATTAAATTTTAACAATCTTCAATTATGTTATTACCAACCTTGTAATTTTTTTTGTCATGTATAAAATAAGAGTACATTGTACTCACAAAAATTATTTTGGCTTATTTAAATGATTATTTTATATATTAGGGTAATTTTTATTTTTCATATAGTTTATAAAATGCTTATATTTTGAAAGAAAATATTTTATACATACTAATAAAAATTAAATAATATTTTACATGATAATTTCTTGTTTGTTTGTCAAATAGTTAATCAAAAATATGTACCTATGATATTGTTATAATAAATATGAATTACCTATGGCAAGGAAATATTACTGTTAAATTAATAATAATTAAGATCAAATATAGTTTTTCTTCATAGATGTAGCCAATTTTTGAAATTCCTGACCCAATTAAATTGTAGAGGTTTTTTTATTATTTCTTAATGGTATATTTTTTTAATTTGCATAGTTATTAGCATATTATGTAATTTTAGTAAAATATTATGAAATTTAATTACTTTAATATTTTTCACAATTCATCAACATTTTTATCTTTTGGTAGTGTTGTAACTGTTGTTTTGGAACTTTTGGTCTGTAATTCACAGTTAGGAGACTTCTGATCTACATGGGAAAAAATTAAATATTTACTAAGTGATGAAAATGCGTTATTCGTATTTAGCTTTGGAAAACCATAATTAATAGTTATTAATTTGATTAAAGTGTATCTAAATTATGTTAATAATTCGGTAAAAAAAAATTAACAATTGTATTTGAAGCAAGCTTGGGATTAGAAGCATTTGCACAAACATAGTGTTGTATGTACACATTTTTTAATTAATGTTTGAATAATAATATTTACATCTTTAATTCATATTGATAACCATGGTTGAATTAATATTTTTGTTATGATCCAAACAAAAATATAAAATTAACATATTTTTTTGAATATTCCAGACTACCTAAGTTTTTAAGTTTATTTGTTTTTCATATACACATGATTTACATTTTATTCTATAATACTAAAAGATATTTTTATCTTGCTGTTGAAATAATAAAATATGTTCAGAAACAAATAGAATTTCAAAAAGTATGAAAATATGTAAGTATAGGTACATTAAAAAAAATATTCGTTCGGAACATATGAGTGAAATTCGCGTTTCATCATACTGTTGAACTTAATGAATATAAAAATGCACGATCGTTTATCTGACTCTCCAATCCAGATTTTCCGTTCGTTTTCATGTTCCGAGCAGTAAGTACCTACCAATAGATCATTGTGATTTTTTTCCCGCAGTTCAACTTCCGTCATATATTTGCAGTAAATCTGAACGAAAAAGTTCATATACGCTCTATTAGGTTAGGAGTCGGATGGTACATTTACTTATTTTCAAACTCCACTTTAGTTTTTGGAGCTTTAACGAAATATTTGGTACCTTTAGCTAATTATTTTTAAATTCATCCAAAAAGTCCTTGTATACAGTTTTGAAAATAAATACTATGTCGACAATAATATCATACGTTTTTATCTAGTATAAAAAAACGTAAGAAAACTAATGGTTTTTCATGAGGGTCGTGACCATTATTCGATTTCAAGCTAATGAGGACTTTCCTTTTAAATATCGAAACTTTTACTTGTGATTTTTTGTTAAATGTTCCCTTTTTGTGTTTATCGACGTGCAAGATATATGAAATGCAACAGCGTATTACAGAATACTGTTGCAGCGTGTCGTATGTTCTGTTGTTTACTAGAGACAAACCCGGCTCAAGTGTTTAAACAAACATAGGCGAAATTTAGTTTTTGCTGCTCCTTACGTGTGTGAGCCGTGAGCCAAGCCCCTCAGATTTATTGACAATGTTATCGATTAATAAATTAGTTCCGGAGCAAAACGATTTTTTAAACATTTAGCATCGCGGCAGGGCCTTTCCAAAGATGAAAATCAAGGGAGGGGGGAGTGAATACTATGAAAAATGCTGACTACAATTTTTTTACTTAATGTATGTAGTATAATTAACTATATGTAGTCGTATTTGTACTTTTTAACATGTATATATGTGTCTGTATCACACGTTCTTAAAATTGACAATTTAATTATATATATATATATATATATAATAATATTTTATATTGTATAGTAATTATGTAAATTTAATAAGTTTAATAAACTCCGGAATTCGGCTATCCCATTATTGGCATATGCCGATGATATAGTACTGATGAACGAATCTCAAGATGGAATTAAACGGTTCTGTGAAAGACTTAACGACGCAGCACAAAAAGTAGGACTACAAATTAATGAACAAAAAACTGAATATATGGTTATAGGTAGACAAAATTGGATGGATCAAGGTTTGGAGGTAGATCATTTTAAATTTAAGAGAGTCAATTCTTTTAAATATCTTGGCTCAATTGTGAGTGAAAACAATGATATCACCAAGGAAGTAGCCGCGAGAATCCAAGCGGGAAACAGGACTTATTATGGTTTAGAGAGTCTATTAAGTTCTAGATCATTATCAAGAGAGATAAAGCGACGTTTGTGTACTAGTCTAATACGACCAGTGGTATTGTATGGATCGGAAACCTGGGTACTAAGGAAATCAGATGAGAATAAGTTCTTGATACTAGAAAGGAAAATATTACGGAAGATCTTCGGTCCAATAAAAAATGACATCACAGGAGACTGGAGAAGAAGGAAAAATATAGAGCTACAATACATTTTTAATGAAAATAACATAGCAGAGACGATCAAGAAAAGAAGGTTGCGTTGGGCAGGACATGCAATGCGAAGCTAGAACTCTCTTCTAAAAATGGTGTTGGAACAGAATCCAGTAGGAAAAAGGTCCTTGGGAAGACCAAAATTGAGGTGGGAAGATATAGTTAAGAGGGATATAGAAGACTTAAGAGGCGGAGCAAACTGGAAGGATTTGGCGATGAATAGAGATGGCTGGAGGATTGGTTGTGAGACGGGATGGTCCTAGCGGCAAATTAACCCAAGAAGAAGAAAATTATGTAAATTTTATTTGTGTACATTGTATTACGAAATATGTAATATTTGTTTTCTGTAAGTAAAATTAGGTCCTTCTAGGTTATAATGAAACAATTCCAACTGCCGACTGGTGTTTTCGTTGGGGGGGGAGACCCCCCTTCGGGACGGCCCTGCATCGGGGGAAAATATAAGATAATTAAGATACAATTCCAAAATTATTATAGAAATAATATCAGTGTTCGATCACCTATAGTCGTGTATAGTGCGTTTTGTTTCGTTCAAACAGATCTATATACCTACTATACAATGTGACTAGGTATATTATATATTGACTATTAAAACATGATATTTTTTCGCATGTTATATTTTGAATTATTATAATTATTTAAATAAATATTTTTGTACCTATAATATAGTTCAAAATAAAAAATTACAACGTTGCAGAGTTTTTTATGCTCAACCGTGTTAAAAACCTCTCAGAAAACCTCTTTTGTATTTCAATTTTCTTTGATACGCCGACAATTTATGCTCAATCGTGTCGCAAAAGAGGTGTTTTATGTTTAATCGTGTCTCAGCCAACTAGATATACACTTAAATTAATGAAGTTTGTTGATAGATTGAATGTTGTATGTTATTTGCAGGGACGTATTTAAAATTATTTATAGGGGAAGGGGCGACTCAAATTTTTTCTTTAATTCAGGCTTAAAATGTACAAGTCAAATTTTGGTAATATTTAAATCGGGTGAATTCTTAATATTTGTGGGTTTTTTTTTTTAATCTAATCCACTTAGAATCGACTTTCGTGTAGTTATTTTTTAACGCCTGTCTGTGTTTTGAAAGTTACGCTTGTATTTTATTTGATTTTTCAATAAGTATGGACCCGACAAAAAGCCCAATTCAGTATTCACAGTCACGCGTAGTTTGATTTCGTTATAAAATGATCCACATTAAAAAAATTTGAAATGTGTATCTTACATACTCGTATAATCGATTCCTTAAATACGGATTCAGGGGAGATCGCCCCCTTCGCTACTGAGTATTTGCACTAATATTTGTAGGTAACATCTCTACTATGTTGCTCGTTAGTCATATTCATCGTTTATTCGTGTAATATTCTGTTCTATCTACGTATACTTCTATATCCATGTAGAAAGTTACGCGAAAGACGTATACTCGTACTTTAGAGGGGATCAATAGAAAGATCATACATTTTTTTGTTTGGCAGATTTAATTAGTTCAAATAAAAGAATTTCATTGAAATCTACTTCACTGCACCTTACTGCACGTTTCGGGTGAAAGGAATTAATTGAAAATTTCATCTTTAAGTTTGAATGATACGTGCATTTGTATGTATCACTGAGTGTTTACGGAGGAGCCGGAAGGACCTTCTTATACGGCAACAATAATTATAATATAGTCTATTAGGTCCGAAAACGGTTGTAGGTAGTGTAGGTACGTCAAAGAAGCGTTATGTACAAGTAATACGTGCTCGTAAAAAAAAGCTGCATCAGATTTTGTTATAAATGAGAAGTTAAAATATCATATAGGCGTCCCTTTCTTTTGCTAGAAATAATTTCTTTAAAGATTCTTCAGTGAGCAATTTTTCGAAAATAATTAATACTTAACATTTTTTTGTCACTTTTACGTGTGCACTTCTCGTGAGTAGACGTACAGTGCCTTAACGACCTGCCTTATCTTTGTAATTAAGCTAATCAACATCGTCGTTATCCAAGTAATATGAATATTTTAATTTACTTAATCTAACCACCAATTTAATTTAATTATCAATCTAATTTGTTCTACAATGAATCCACCTGTTAAACCTTCACTATCTCACTGTCATAATGAAAATACCAAAAATAACACAAACTCACCAATATACCCAATTAAAATTGTTAAAAGCAATGACAACTCAAATAATTGGCAAACGGTACCGCTTAGATCACCTACTTCTCCAACTTCTCCCAGTCAAAAAATTCAAAAAACCAACTCCTTTTCAAGCAAAAATCGGTTCGCAGTCCTCGCCGACAACGAAGAATCATATAAGAATTCAAACGAAGTCGAAATGCAATCCCAAGAAATCTCAAACGTTCAACCCAA